CTGCCTTCAAATACACTGTCCGTTTCATGGCTCCAGAACAGGGTTTCTCAGCCTCGGCCAGATGAGTCTGCTCGGCGTGGGGCAGGGCTGTCCTGTGAATTGTAGGGTGCTTAGAAGCCTCCCCACTACCCACTAGACGCTATACCCACTCCCTGATGTCAACAGCCAGAACTGCCTGCAGACGTTGCCAAATGGCCCAGGGAGCAGGCAGAATTGTCCGGGTTGAGAACCACTGGTCTAGAATAGTGGTCTTCAGACGCTGGTCACATAGCCCCGTAAATAAAATGTTTTTCCCTGTCCCCATGTGTATTTATATTTACTCTGTCAACCTTATACTAGGAAATGTGTACACAAAATAGAAATAAAATGGTGAAGGTTATAAAGATTGATATAATGAGAATGTATTTCTGTGCGGTTTTCCTCCCAAATGTCTGTGGATCATTCTGCACCCCTCTTAAACTGTGTCCCCCACTTTGGACGTGAGTGTTCTAGAACATTGGTAGCTCATCAGAATTTAGTCTGTCTCCTGAGGCCAACACTGTCACCGTGTCACTGGGCGTTGAATGTGACTTTTCCTGTTGGCTGAGCACTGGCTGCCAGGGCCGGAGCCGAGCCCAAAGGAGCCTGTGCTAAGTCGTGGAAAGGGGACAAAGTCCGGCTGCCACCAACCATTCGACCCCAGACTGCATACGCCGAGCAGGAAGGTTATAGTTGTCAACACTGACATGTGGAGTGTTGAGAGAGGCTTTTCCTGTCACTCTCTCCTTTTCCTGTCCCCAGCCCCTAGTAGTGTGGACTCCGTGCATAGAAGGAGCTGGTAAGGCTGAGAGATTGGTCACCCGCTCTGTGGCCGTGGCCAGAGGCTCCCTGCAGGTAGGGGCTCTTGCATCAACCAACGCAGGGGGGACTTCCTACCTAGTGGCAGTCTGGTTGCCTCATAGCGGGCATGGAAGGACACTGGTGAGGCCCATTGGCTTGGTGTTGGGGAGCATGAGGACCAGAGGAAGGAAAGGTACCGAGTGATGTTCGCAGGGTTCCCAGACCCAGTAAAGCCGAAAGAAATTGGCAGAGGGACTCCCGGTGGGACCGGCCTGGGGGTTCCCAGTGCTGGGGCACCTGGTGAGGTCACACACCATTTTAGTGAAATTGTAACATTGGCTGCGGCCACCGACACAGTCACAGCAAGACCGAGACCACTGGCAGAGACCACTCACTTCTGTCCTCGTGCCCGGGCACCCTCACAGCGGGACAGAAGAGGCGAAAGAGTAGACTATGTCTCCTCAAGCCCCTTGTCTAGCTGGCCGTGGTCTTGAGTCAGATTTGGGATGGAGGTTGTAGATGGGACTGAACTTAAAAAGCTGAAAGTTACCAGCTAGAAGTCGCGGAACCCGCCTGAGACTCACAGCTGGGAAGGGGTACTCGGCAGAGCACCTCGGAGAAGCAGTGGTGGGGAGGGCGGCCCACCGGGCTGAGGCCTCTGCCCTCTCGGTCCGGAGACCCCGGCATGGTCCTGGGCGTAACTGTTGAACTGTTGCTGAGTCGCCGTGGATGGGGCTTCCTCCGACCCAGGCTGACCTGGAAGGGTTTCTTCATATCAAATAATTAGGACTTAATAGGAACTCTTATACAAAGAATGGAATTTGTTGTATTCTTAAGTGCTCTGGACCCAACATGATGAATTATTTTTAGAAAAATTTGAAAAGCCAGTCTTTTTTGTGTTTCTTTTTTTTCCCCAGTATGTTTATTGATTTTAGAGAGGGGGAAACATCGGTTGGTGGACACCCACATGCACCCCGACCGGGGCAACCTTTTGACGTAGGGGCCGATGCTCTGACCAGCTGAGCCTCCTGGCCAAGGCTAGTATTTTGATTCATTTGTCTTCCCAGACTGATGAGTATTTTGTACGTATTGGCTTATGAAGAAAGAAAAGAAGTCGAGTGGGAAGATCCGTTTAAAATTCTGCTATGAAATGTTTTAAGTTTCAGGAGGACTCTTTGGAATCTTCCGCTGTGAACTTCCGTTTAGTGTCAGAACTTGTTTTCTTCTAATTAAGGGTATTATATTGAACGCATGTCCAGCACAGCTTAATGATTTAGAATATCCTGCGGGCGTTTTTTTCACCTAAGAGTCCCTTCCTAGCAGGTGAGGGAGCACCGACTTCTGAGTAGTGGCACTGTTGACAGTGCCTCAGTGTGCCCCCCAGGTGGGTGGTCTGGAAGGCGGGGCGGGGCCTGCCCACCACCGCTGCCTGCTTCCACCTGGGCTCAGTGTGCAGCAGGTAACGGAGTGACTACAAGAGTGAGTTCGGCTTGCCGGCCTCAGAGAGTCCACTGACTCACTGATACTGGGATGTTTGCCTTGTTAATAAGTAGGCACACTGTCCTGAAGGCCATCCTTTGATCAGGGGTATAGATTTGGATGACAGTTGGCCAGATAAGGGTGCAGCTGACTTGGGGACAAAGCAAAGGTGGTTGACCTGTGTCATATTCGAGTTTGTTGACTTTCTGATGAAAGAATTTACCCAGAAACTGTGGGGGGGGCGGGGCAGTTTAGTGGAATGGAATCTTGTTGTCGAACATAAATATATGTCAGCTATTTCTTTGTCTTACTCTGTAGCATATAAGTTTTCCAGTGTTTTAAAATACACTGTTTTAAGCTTTTTTTTAATTCAGGATTTATTATTTTTTAAAGATTTTGTTTGTTTTTAAGCAGAGGGGAAGGGAGGGAGAAAGAGAGGGAGAGAAGCATCAGTGTGTGGTTGCCTTTCACACACTCCACGCATTGGGTACCTGGCCTGTAACCCAGGTGTGTGCCCTGACTGGGAATTGAACCAGCGACCCATTGGTTCACAGGCCAGTACTCAATCCACTGAGCCACACCAGCCAGGGCTAAAATATACTTTTATTTGGTCCTGGCTGGTGTGGCTCAGTAGTCGAGTGCCAGCCCGTGAACCAGGGGGTCGCTGGTTTGATTTCCTGGGTTTCAGGGGCAATTATTTTGTGCGAAAAGACATGGTAGGACGTTATTCTTTTACCTCGTTTTTAAACACTCTCGTTGAAGCCTGTTTTCTTCAGCAACATTCTGGTGCTTTAGAGCCAGTTATACGGAACAGCGTTCGGTCCAGCTCACAGTTTTTTCTTGGTACGAAAGGGTATGTTACAGTGTTAAAGTCCTGCTTATCTGATCAACAGTTTTCCATTTTGAGTGTGAGTGAAGACAGTGTCGTCGGACCTGTCCGCAGCCCCCGTCTCTCCATGGCTGTCCCAGAGGGCTTACCCGAGTGCAGTGGGGCAGACACAGGCTTTGCGGCCCAGAGTCTGGATTTGGGTTTCAGTTTAGATACTTAGCCGCTTTGCACCTTGGAGAAAGTGTATAACCTCACTGAGACCCAGGGTCCCCGTCTGCAAAGGAAAGGTGATACCTCCCCACAGTCCCTGGGCGGCCTGTGGGGAAAATGCCGGCTGCGTCCTACGCCGGGGCCTCCCGCCCCATTTGACAGATCCCTTGCCTTGCTTTTGTGGTTGATGGGCTTAGGCCCCCAGTAGAGCTTAATTCAGGGTGTAATACCATCCAGATTTTAAAGCAGGTTTACCTAAGTAGCCCAAAATGCCTGTTTTCCTTCCCTGCACCTCCCGAATCTGTATACTTGCTCTTTTTCTGACATTTAGATTCCTTTCGGGGTGGAGGGCGGATTGAGGCTAAATACCAGTTCCTGCTGGTAGGGTCATTGGAGGATCCAATGCTTGTCCTGAGGCAGGCAGTCGGTGGTGGGAACGCTAGTGTTGCAGCCAGCAGCTCCCGGCACTGCGTCATCACGGTTTGCTGCGCTCTCTGGAGCTGCAGGCCCCTGATCGGAAAGCACTGCACGGGGACTTAGAGTCTGGTGGGGGGAAGCTGACTTATGTTCTGTGTGTGCCGGGGCTGCCCTTCCTGCCCCTGCGGTGGCTCCTCCCAGTCAGAGATACTGATGCTGTGTGAGCTACCGGTTGTGCCAGGTGCCCCTGGGGCAGTCCCCTGGGATAGCAGGCAGGCAGTAGGTGCTGTCTTCAACCATTTGGGTCCCTTAAAAGACCCTCCCCTTGAAACCTCAATTGAACGATTCCTTTGCTTAGCAAATCCTCTTTGTGGACTCGGGAGTTCTGATGGCGGATACAGGGGATACGGAGATGAGACGCACGCAGGTCCTGGGCCGCCGTGCTTCCAGGAGTGGAGCCCGTGTCACTGGTGGGTGGGATGGCGTTCGGTGGTCCGAGACACTGAGTTATCACCAGCCCGTCAAGCACCTGGTTTCATGGGTATTTCTGTTAAGAAAAGATGGAGAGTTGTCTCAAAGAAAGTTACTTAAGTTTCTAAATCAGGTAATATTTTCATATGAAAAATTATAAAGGGGAACCCTGACTCAGAAAGACAGGATGGCTAATGACAACACAGAGGATAATGTTTTTGTCATTAAAAGCAAGCTTTGGTTTAATTTTTAGTGGAGTCCAAATTAATTAGATTTTAATAAATGTCTGTTGCAGTAAACATTGATTTTCAGGTAGTAGCATTATCTGAATAGCTTTTGTTTGACTGAGAAATGATGCGTTTTCTGGACTACTCATTGCAACCTGGTAGTGAAGTTGGAAATGGCGTGGCCGACTGGCGGTCAGAAGTTGGTAAAAATATCACACGTCGACACAGAGGAGCAGCACGCAGCCAGCACAGACTACGTGAGTGTGTGCGCTGACGTCCACAGTGTCCAGATCCAGGGTGCGGAGTGAGGTTCAAAAGCCATTTGTGAAAAGCCCTAAAGGTTGTGCTAACACGTCAACAATGGTTATTTCTTTAGCTGCTGGGATTCCAACTGGGTGTTTTGTTTTTTTTTTTTACTTCCCCGTAGGTTCTGATTAGGAAGTGAACACAGGTCCTCTTTTTCTAATAAAGAACAGTTAGAGTTCATGTTTCATTTGTGCAGAGGAGGGCGGGCCTTTCTCATGCTGCTGTGATCTCTCTCCCTGCAGGTGCGGGGGCACGGTCGGTGCTATTTTCACGTGTCCCCTGGAAGTCATTAAGACGAGGCTGCAGTCCTCGAGATTAGCTCTTCGCACCGTCTATTACCCTCAGGTCCATCTGGGGACCATCAGTGGAGCTGGAGTGGTGAGGCCGACGTCTGTGACACCTGGACTCTTACAGGTTCTGAAGTAAGTGCAGTCCCCATTCTGGACTCCTGCCAGAGCCCCCCACTCCCCGCCCCCATCGATCCAGAATGTTTATGAAGCCCATCAAACAGGATGTTCTGTTTGCACAGCGTTTGTCCAAACTGAACGATATGGTTTCTGTGCCAATACCTTTGAACTCCGGCCTCACTCCCTTGGCAGCAGGTCACCCAGTGTGCGTGTGGCCGCCATCCAGGGCCGGTGAAAGCAGACCTAGCAGAACGGATCAGAGATGCGCGTGCAGACGACGCGCTCTTGCCCAGAACCTTTGGAGGCCTAGCGGGAGACGACGGGGTGGTGGAAGGACATTGAAAATTTCAAACTTCACAAGAGAAGGGTTTTGAGTATCTTAAGAGGGAGTCAGCTGGAAACAAAATGTTTCAGTGTTTTAATTTTTATTTGGAAATAATTTTACATTTATAGAGAAGTTTCAATATATATTTAGTATAAAATGGTTTTTAATATTTTTGTTTCATACGTAGGCTACCTGCCTAATGTACTATTTTTACTGCAGTAAAAATGTCTCATTCACTTACAGAGTAGATTAAACATGAGTTGAATTTGACTTATCGGCATCTAGGCTTAAGGCAAAATCAGAAATTCAGAATGGGGGTGTCTGAATTTCACGTTGGGCCCTTGTGCTTTAGAGGGTGTTCAGGAAGTACTGGTTGCCTTTACCTACACCTGATGGTCGCATCTCCGAAACTCGGTGCGGGGAGAGGGTGGGTTCAAGAAAGGCACTGCTGTTTCTCAGTGTGGTAGTTTAGCTGGGAAATGTTAGAAAAAGATGCAGCAAAGTGGAAATGCTCTGTCTGAAGAAGCACTGTACCTAGCCCTTTGGGCAGAGTTCAGTCACATAGGGATGAGTTGGAAAGCACCGAATTTATTTTTGGGTACGTTTTGTTTGTAAAGCTTGCCTACAAGGCACCCATGCCAAACGTGTGAATGAGGGTGCATCCAAGCTGATTGAGCAAAACGGGGCTCAGGAGCAGCTGCTAAGGCCCAGGCCCTGAGTGAGAGAATCAGAAGCCCCGCCAGAGAAAGGCGGCTGGACCCTGCGGAGGGGAGCGCGGGCCCAGAGGCGGCAGGTCCAGGGTGGGCCCTGGAGACAGACGTCAGGCCCGCTCTGATCTCAGGAAGGAGGGACAGCCCTGCATCCTCCAGAAGAGGTGGCTGTGAAAACGTCCCCATCCCAGTTGGCCTGTTCACGTGCTTGGGCAGCGGCAGTGTCTCAGATGACACCTGCTTCAGAGGAACATGAAGTGCTTGGGACATGATGAAATGGACAGGTAATTTGCCAACTTTATTAATATCCGAGACGGACTTCCTCCTGCCATGCCTCCCGAACAACTCGTGACTGGTGGGCCTGCGGGTTCACGCTGCCCGGGACCCCGCTGCCCAGAAGTGCGGAGGCAGGTGGAGGACTCCCGTGAGCCGACTCCGTGGGTCAGCTGACAGCGGTCGCGTGCTCTCCACCTCTGGTGTGTGTGTCTCTCTCTCCAGCTCCAATAAATCTCCCTCCATGTATTTTTCCCCAATTAGGATCATTGTTTATTAAAATGTAAGTCAAAGAAAAAGAGTCTCTCTGTCGTTTAAAACCGGGAGCAGGGCCCACAGCAGCCACGGCCACACAGTGGTGAGACGCCGCCTCCACACGCGTGCTTGTTAAAACCCTCGAGTCCGCGCTCACGTCAGAATAGAAAGAATGGAGTTTTAGTAAAAATCTCGTTAAAATGCTGGGTTGTTAGAAAAGTGTGTATAAAATGACACTTGGCCCTGGCTGGTGTAGCTCAGTGGATTGAGCGCGGGCCTGCGAACCACACGATCGTGGTTCGATTCCCAGTCAGGGCACATGCCTGGGTTGCAGGCCGGTTCCCTGCAGGCCAGTTCCCAGCAGGGGACGCACAAAAGGCAACCATACATTGATGTTTCTCTCCCTCTCTCCTTCCCCCACTTCCCCTCTAAAGATAAATAAATAATAAAATAGAAAAAAAAATGACACTTGTCGCCCAAGAACTCTTTAATTAAAGCTTTATTTCTGCAGCTTGATACACGTACATTGTTAAGATTCTCAGCTGCTATTTAATAGCTCCCAATTTAAAAATGGCTGCTTTTATGTAGTATTATGTTACTGGTTTTTCACGCCAACCCGGTAAGATTAGCAGTCAGGCATGATGTCCCCCTGCTGCATGAAAGAGGAACCGCAAATTGGAGTTAAATGACTTAGTGAAGCCATTTTTTTAAAATTTTATTTATTTATCTTTAGAGGGGAAGGAGAGAGGGAGAGAAACATCAATGTATGGTTGCCTCTAGTGCATCCCCTGCAGGGAACTGGCCTGCAGGGAACCTGCCTGCAACCCAGGCATGTGCCCTGACTGGGAATCGAACTGCAATCCTCTGGTTCACAGGCCCGTGCTCAATCCACTGAGCTATACCAGCCAGGGCTTGAGGCCATTTTTAATATGTATTTGCCTCTTTCAAAGAAAAACTTTAAGGCAGTAGACTCCCGAGTTGCCTCTGCTGGAGACAAGGGCTCCAGCTCAGTCTCCTGGGACCACACCCGCCCGCTCACTGTGGCTTCTCTTCTGTCCTGCAGCCTGACAGCCCAGGGCCCAGAGCCAGCCTCTCTTGGAGCCACACGGGACGTCCAACTGCCCTGTGCAACATCTCTTCTCGGGGATGTGGTGGGCATCCAAAGTGTCACTTGTAGAGAACTGAGCTCCCCAGCCTCACTGCTCCCAGCAGCTCCTGCCCACTCTGCAGATGCACACACTGCATGTGACCCCTTCTCCACTGCTGTCCTGATGGAAGCCACCGGGTCCCCCCCTGGGTTACTGCCCAAACTCCCACTTGGTCTGGCCCAAGACCTGCTCCCCTCCCTGTCCTTGTCTGTTACCAGCCAAGATCCTTGCTCACATGCCTCCAGGGACTACCCTCGCCTCCTGTCCCTGCAGCCCGCTGTCTCCACACAGCTGTCACCCTCCTGTCACTTCTCTGGGTAGCCCCTCCCGCACCCCTTCAGCTGTCCCTTTAAAAGGTCAGGAACATTGGCACATCCCGACTCAGGGCCCTGGGACTGGATGTTATCGGCATGACTGGCTCCCGGTTGTCACCTCTGCAGGGAGGCCTTGCAGTGACCATGGTATTTAAAACAGCCTCCCCTGGTGCTCCATCCCTCCTTCCTGTCTTATTTTTACCACCCAACACTTAACTTCCACCCAACATAGAGGACAGCTTGCTTGTTTGTGTTACTTACTTTCTTTCCCTGCCCCCACCAGAAAGGAGGTTTCTCGGAGTCAGGGACTTGGATTTATTTTGGTCACTCAGGGTGTCCCCAACCACTGAGAATGCTTCCTGTCACCTCGCAAGCATTCAGTACAAATTGAATGAATGAATGGTTTTGGCACATCAGAAAGATACTGCATATAAAGAGTTTAACACACACCGACTGTGTAAATAAGGCATATTGGCCACCGCCATACTGTGCATGTCCTGTACTTTTTAAACGTAAGATTTACACCTGGGTTTCCCGGCAGCCACGGCAGAAAGGGGAGTGCCACATCACGCCGTGCTCTTCCACAGAGCGCGTGCTCGCTCCTCAGGGGACACGCCTGTCTTCCTGCTGACGGGTCCCGAGAGTGGTCTGTCACTCAGACTCGCGTGCAGACAGGGTGGCGGCACGTGCAGCGTTGCCCTTTAGGGTCGTGCAGGACCACCACGCTGGTCGGAGCCGCCTCTCATCTCCCCCGCCCCACCCCCCCACCCCGGTTGCTGCTGGACGTCTCTCAGGTTCCCCCAGCAGCCGTCCCTGAGCAGGCCAGGAGGTGGTGGCGCCCAGGCTGCTCCTTCGTCTTCCTCTTTCAGGAAGTGCCTCTTTAAACGACTTCAGACAGTGGAGTTGGTTTATAGGAAGTTTGCTTTGCAAAATGCAGATCCGTGTTTGCTTTTGTCTCAGCCTCTGTATGTTTAATGTACTTACTTCAAAAGGCTCTCACTGTGAAATTTGCCAAATGGGAATAATGTATCGATTCATTTCAGGTATCTGCTTGAAAAAGTCTTATGCTTTTTTCTTTTTTTTCTTCTTTCATCAGAGTTCTTCCTGTTCTTTACACTACTCAGGTAATTTTTCTTCAGGTGCCTTTTTAATCTGAAAAGTAATATATTAGTGATCTGGTCACTATCTTATAAATGAAGCTAGTGTATTCAGCTGAGATCTTCATCTTGGATTGTGATCTAAAACCAGTGAAGATGAAATGCTCCAAATAAGACCCCAGTTTCTTTCTGCATTTCTTTCCTAAATGGAAGTTTCTAAGGCTGTGGGAAAACGAGTCTGGATCCTAACATGCTTTCTTTCGAGGCTGAAGTGTACCATTTATAGCGGGAACTTGATTGTTCCAGAAAAGTTTTGTACGCATGCAGCAGGGTCGGAGGTTTGAATTATGTAACAGAGCCGACTTTTTGCCTGCTGTTAGTGTGCGTCACTATGGAGACAGCCTTTCCGCAGTGGCCCGGGTCACTCGGGGACGCGAGTTCCCTGCTGCATTGTAGATGAGAAGCCGAGGGCTTCCCGGAGCCGGAGAGCCCTTCGCTGTAGTTAGACGGCTCCTGTGTGTTTACGGGAACCACAGACGCAAGTCTAGACGTCAGACATTTTTAATATATTGACCATTTGAAAATCTTTTACAGACTGAAAGGTGTAGGTCACTCCAAGGTGTCAGTTAAGAAAGTTTTCGTTCAGGGAGCTTGGCTTCCGGAGAGTACTGTCCTGTGGTAAGAAAGAGGAGGAGTACAGGATCTAAAGCTGAAAACTAAACGCTCACGCCTTGGTGAAGGGCCGGGTGACTTGGTTTTGGCCATGGGGAAGTCCCCTGGGACTCCAGGGCCTCCGTGCAGCATGTCGGGCTGCACAAGCCCCCGGAGTGTCTTTACCCCTGGCCTTGTCCCCGAGACTGCTCGGCTGTCCTCATGAGTCCAGTATTTTTACAACCTAGAGTGGGTAGCTTATTTTTTCGAAAGAACTTTCTATTCTGAAAAAACTGAAACTGAAGGAAAACCGCCAGGAATGGCACGTGTAACTTGCCCGTACTCTTCACCTCGAGTCACCGCTGTGGACACATGGCCACGTTTGCTCTTTTGTCCTCGTTCTCTGTGTGCTCCTGCCTCTCCTGGGCCGCTTTTTAAACGGACTGCACCCGCTACGCCCCCTCGCCCTCCGTGCTGCAGCGTTGACTCCCCAGGAACAGTGTTCCTTTAAAACCTCGGCAGTTTTCCAACTCAAGAAACTTACCACTTTCTCACTCACCTGCAGTCCCTGCTCCAGTTTTCCCAGTTGCCTGTTGTAAGTGATGCATTTAGCACAAGATCCAAATTTTGTGTAAACACTGTTTCTGCCGGTCTCTTCCACTCTCTTCACCTTTTTCAGTGAGCCTTTCTTTTTTTTCTGGCCTAGGGGTGGTTTTTTTCTTCTTTTTTTTTTCTTTTTAGTTCAAGTACAGTTGTCTCCATTTTCCCCCTTCTACTCCCGCTCCCACCCCAGCCATCCCCATGTTTTTCTTTCTCTTTCTTTTTTAACAGTTTACTAAGATAAAATTCAGACCTGGTTAGCGTAGCTCAGTGGATTGAGCTCCGGCCTGCAAACCAGGGGGTCTCTAGTTTGATTTCAGGTCAGGGCACATGCCCGGGTTGTGGACCAAGTCCGGTCTCCAGTGCGGGCGCGCAAGAGGCAACCACACTTTAATGTTTCTTTCTCTCTGTCTCCCTCTCTTTCTGCTCCCTTCCCCCCCCAAAAAAAATTTTTTTTTAAATCTTAAAGAAAAAAAGTTGAAATTCACATACAACTTACCCGTTTAAAGCAGACAGTTAACTGTTTTTTCTTCCCCATCCCCCCCAAGTCCCAGCGCTAGGCCCCCGACCACTAATCTACTCTCTGTAGCTACAGATTTGTCTCCTGGACTTTTCATATACATGAAGTTGTAAGATGTGTTTGCGGCCTCTTGCATCTGGCTTCTCTCACTTAACCCAGTGCTCCTCCCCTCTGTCTGAAAAGTCAGTGGGCATGCCCTCGGGGGAACGTCAGGAGAAATGGGAACAGAATTGGCAGGATTCACTTTACAATTAGTTGTACGGGGATAGCTTTTCCATAAAGTGAAAGATACCTTTTTATTTTACCTTCAACGTCATAGTGAAGGTAAAACATTACATACACTTTTTTTTAAAACAGTGTGATTATTTCTGAATGTGTCCAACTAAGAATGCTGTCAGCTTGGAAAGTACTGATTACCCAGTGAAGAGAACCCTTAGTACAAAAAGGGGATTGAATTAGGGAGTGTCCAAGAGAATACTGGTGTCCAAGAGAACTTAGCAGCGGAAGTCCTCTTGGACACCATGAAAACTGCGCCGTTGGAAAGAGTGAGTTGAACCAACCTGAAGAACCGTTATGTCGGGGTGGGAAAGTGCCTCTGAAGGATAGTCTCTACCAGCCTGTTGGGGTTTTTATAGTCACTTTGAATCAGAAACAATAGCACTTTTTAAAGCTTTTTAAGTCTCTTTTAATCAGAAACTGTGCTAAACAGTTTTGGTTTTTGACGCATGTTGGCGGGGTGTGGAGAATGGGAACTTGTGTTGGTAGGAATGGAAATGGTGCAGCCGCCGTGGTGTGCAGTGCGGTAGATTCTTAAAAACTGAAACCCGGCGCCACCGAGCGACCTAGCCGTTCCCTCCTGGGCGCGCCCCGAGAGAGTCTATACTGGGGCTCAGGCAGATGCTGGGACGCTCGTGTCCACGTTGGCATTGGTCCCAGCAGCCGAAAGGTGGGGGCCACCCTGCTGTCCATTGACAGGTAAATGGATGAACAAAATGTGGCCCATCCCCACAGTGGGATGTTTGTGGTTATTTTTTTAGGTTTTTATTTATTTATTTTTAGAGAAGGGAAGAGAGAGTGAAAGGGAGGGAGAGAAACATCAATGTGTGGTTGCCTCTCATGCACCCATTGGGAACCTGGCCCGCAACCCAGGCACGTACCCTGACTGGGAATGGAACTGGTGACTCTTTGACTGTAGGCCAGCACTCAACCACTGAGCCACACCAGCCAGGGCCACACGATGGAACGTTGTTCAGCCTTAGAAAAAGAAGGAAGTTCTGACACTTGCTGCAACGTGGGTGGACAGACATCATGCTCAGTGAGATGCGCCAGTCGTAATGGGACAAGTGCTGTGTCTCCGTTCATAGGAGCTTCCTGGAGCGGCCAGATCCATGGAGACAGAAGACGTGGAGGCCCAGGGCCGGGGCGGGGGGACGGCCAGGTAGTGTTTCCTGGGGATGGAATTTCAGTGTGAGAAGGAGAAAGGGTCTGGGGAGGGGCAGCGGCCATGGTCGCATAGCACTGAGTGCGCTGAACCGTGCACTTGACGGTGGTTAGATGGTGAAAGTGTCCTGCACATGTTACCGCAGTGGGAAAGTTAGAGATAGGCAGTGTTCTCTGAACTTGAGATACGAGGGTTTGGCTTTAAATGACATCCATTCAGCCCGTGAAAATCACTGGGTTTTTCTATTGCTTATATGCCTGTTTAGGACTCTCTTACAACAGGTAAAAATCTAGAGATGGGATTATTATAAACAGGGCGTAAATCCAAAAGAAGTGCCATCCAGAGAAGTCTCTGAGCCTGTTGGACAGTGAACCTTGTCACAATGAGGACACTGCCCCGAGTCGGACTTCTCCAGTGCTTGTCGTCCCGTAGGTGTAGACCCTGGGCACCTCACCGACAGCCGGACTGCCGTTTCTGAAGCCCGTCCGTCCCCTGTGCTGACCGGCCCGGTTCCTCTGTCCTGCAGTGCGCTCACATAAGGCCTGGGGTCTTGGAAACACTCTGTCCTTTCTCTACTCAAGGACCTAATGGGAAGGCCATCAGCTGTGATGCGTAGGCCTGGCTTAAAGATTTTACAGATGAATCTTCTTTTATTTCTCAGGTCAATCTTGGAGAAGGAGGGACCAAGGTCACTGTTCAGAGGCTTGGGTCCAAATTTGGTTGGAGTCGCACCGTCAAGGTAAGCATTAGACTTGCGGCTGGGTCCCCACACACGTCTGTCACATTGCACGTCCTTTCCCGAGGACGGGCCGCGCTGCTAGGTGGCCGGTTTCTTCTGCAAAGAAGTACAGGTTTGCCCGAGTAGCCTGGCAAATGGCAATAGTGGTGACCGTGGGTGTGTCTTTAGTGCGTGTGTGAGAAAGAGGTTCTAGTTATTTTACTAAGTTGACGATGGGTCTGCTCTCATCCCTGGACCTTCTCGAAGTAAGTGACACTTGGTCAGCGGCATCACCCTTACCCCACCACCCCGGTGACGCATAACTCACTGTTACAGGTGTGGGGTATTTAGAAATACTGCAGGTTTAAAAAGTCACAGCATAGGTCGGTGCTCAAAGGATTGGCCTTTACCCAGACTGAAGGATGTACCTACCGGACTTGGCGCATTAACGAATCTGGTGGGCGGACTCTTCACCCGCACTCCGGCCCACGCCCCAGAGCTCCGTCAGCATCTGTGGTCCAGCAGGGGCCCCCCAGTGATCCAAGTGCCCCTGGAAGTGCTGACCTGAGGGGGTTTTAAAGGAAGGAATTCTGGGCTTTACTTTCTATAAAGCAACATCCTCATTTTTGTTACAAGGCCTACTTCTCTTTAATCTGCACTGTCCAGAGACATACAATAGCCACTGGCCACTTGGGCTCTTAGATTAACTAAAAAAAAAATTCAGCTCCTCAGCCTCCATTGGCACGTGGCTCTCAGCTCCTGCATGCGGGACCGCAGATACATGACGTTCCCGCCTGTGTAGGAGGGTCGGGCCGTGCTGATGGGGAGGACGGACACGCGGGGAGCGCGGTGACAAGGTGAGAGAGAGAGTCCTGTCACCACTGAAAACTAGGCAGGAAACTGCTTCCAGAAATGGCCCCCGGGGAGGGAAGCTGGGTGGCAGGGGTGTAACACTGGGTTAGACTTTAGGGAGAACTAAGCTTTATAACAAAAATGAGAATGTTGTTTCATAAGGTAAAGACGAAAAGCTTCTAGACTTGTTGCAGATCAAGGCTCCAATTTATACACAGATCACCAGGATGATTTGTTTATATGCAAATCATTAATGCCAGTTCTTATTAAACCCTTCTGTTCCTTTAGAATTTCTAGCACATGAGTGTAATCTATTGAAAAAGTAGACAGGACTGGCCCTGGCTGGGCGGATCAGTTGATTGGAGTGTCGTCCTGTGCCCAACAGGTGCAGGTTCCGTGCCCGGTCGGGGCACAGAGGGAGGCAGCCCGTAGATGTTTCTCTCTCTCTTCCAAGCTCTGTAAAATTAGTGAGCAGACCTTTGGGTGAGGATTAGAAGTAATAATGAAATAAAAAGAGGAAAGTACTAGTCTGTGAGATTATTAATGGATGGCAAACATTTGTGACATACAAGTATTCAGTAGAGAAAGTTAAGCCCTATCTGCCAGTGGGCGGTACTGACTGGGCAACCTCTGTTCATCTGATTCCCACTACCACACCCGTTTAGAACGGTCGGGACCCAGGGATGCTGTACAACACAGTAATGATAAGTAGTCGGAGTCCTGAGTTGAAAAATATATTCTATGATCTGTTGAGAAGCTGAAACAAAAAGAAGCCTTTTCCCTGACATTGCTGGTGAAGGAGCAGGGAAACTCTCAGCCAGGCCCTCACCCGGCCACTCAAGAGAGAAGACTGAAGGCTAAGGATGAGGCAGGGAGGGGGAGCCGTGGGGGGGGCTGGCCACCACGTGCTGTGGTTGCCTTTGGGGGCCGGGGGCAAGTTCAGTGGGCGGAGCTGTTCAAGCCCCTGGGCGGCGGCCATGGCTGTATTATCGATCCTCAGTCACCCAAAAGACACCAGGTTACCACAGATGAGTGTGGTACATTTTAGAAATACTGCAGCTCTTTAGTTACAGTTTATGTTGTGCTCAAAGGATTGGCATTTACCCAAATGAAGGACGTAAATGGACTTTGTTTATCGTCAGAATCTCATTTTCCTCAGTTAATTGGGATGCTCAGTCTCGATGAATACTGGAGGGAGGGCGGGGCCTTCCAAAGAAGTCAGTGGGGCTGGGTCTCAGCACACACAGGGTCAGGGTTAGACCTTGACTTCTGGCCCATTTTATTTTCTAAACTTTTCAGAGGCTGCGGAGGAACGGGTGTGTTTGTAGGGCCAGACCCACGTCTTTACAGCCTTCTCTCTCTGTTCTAACAGGGCCGTGTACTTCGCCTGTTACTCCAAAGCCAAAGAGCAGTTCAACGGCGTTTTTGTGCCTAACAGCAACACCGTGCACATTTTCTCCGCCGCCTCTGCAGGTTCGTGGCCCCGAGTGGGTGGGGGGAAGCCGCTCACCTCCTAACGTGCGCCTGGCGCCCAGCAGCCTTTTCCAGGGATTAGGAATGAGCTCTGTGCATCCTTTGCATCCAAGATCATTTTTCTAAAGCTTTATGTTGGAATTGATTAAATTGAGTGTTTAAAACAGTTTGTAACTTGGTTCCTGTTTCTTTGATCACTAAAGCTTTTTATTTTTCCTCAAAATGTCCATGTTCTGTGCATGCTGGTCAGTGTAACGCTTCGTTTCAAGTAATTTTAGTGTGTTTTTCATGTCTGTTTCATTGTTATTTTCTAAAATTCAAGCTCTCTTTCCATGACTCCCTGTGCACAGTTGGGACTTTTGTTCTTAACACTTGGATTCCATGATCAAGGGGTGGAATTCCACAAGGGGTGGGGGCTGGGGGTCCTTTGTGGGCCGTGACTGATCAGTGCACTCTTCTTTTGAAGGGGTCCCCTACAGTAAGGGTTCCCGCTTACTGTAGGAAATTTATAACATGATTTCCCCCAGAAAATACGTGGCAAAAAACACTGACTTGGAGATTGCTGAGAGAAGGCTGTGTCTTTATGTATAAGGCTGTGTCTGTTTAACTAAAAAGGTATTTTAAAGAACTAAAATTGACATTTTATGAAAAATCCCCGCCTTCCGCCAGCCTGTAAAGTGTATGCAGCTCTGTCTGTCCTTCTGATGTCAAGTTAAAGTACTAGTAACCCCTCTGAATAGTTACAGGTATTACCTTCTGGACCCCAATAGAAAATGATGTTGCACAGAACTGCTTCAGCACGGGAAGGGTGTGGCTGCTGGGTATGCGGCTCTGAGGAGGAAGTGTGGTATCTTGTCTTCTTGAGGCTCATAACCTAAATGCTGTTCATTGGTTTTGCTACTTTTGCAAAATTCACTTAGAAGAACCCTCGGTACCTAAAGTGCACCTGGAGGGTGCATGTGTTTAGTCCACTGTCCAGGTTCCTGGTGTCTGATTGATCTGTTAGAGAAGAGTCACCGTGCTGGGCCTGGACTGGTTAGCAGTGCCAGAGTGGGGGAAGCTTGCCAATAAGAAAGGTTCTCCAGGAAGCAGATCAGTGTTCAAACTTCAGTCTCCTGAAATGGTTAGTCAGGTATTAAAGTGTCTAAGTTTGGATGCAGTTAAATGGAGATTTAGTTCCTTCCCTTTTAAGTTTGCCATAAGGCAACCTTTTGAGTTAGGACAGCAACTTTTTAAAGCAGGTTATTTCTGGACCTGATGCTTATAAATTGTGTTCAAAGCCGTTTCACGTTAACCAAAAGAATCACTTTGGCAGGAATGCCAACAGCACCACCTAGAGGCTGGGAACACTAGGTAGGGCTAGAGAGCGGAGAGATTTCTTTTAGGCCCAACATACCGATGGCTGTTACCGTTCAGGGGATTGCAGCTTCTGTCTGCAAGACAGACACGGGACTGCCTCCCGCTCTCCGTTTTTATCCCTCAGCCATTGGAAGCCGACTTCAGCGTTTATTGGATGGAACAGACCGCCTTAGGCCGCATTGGCTGTGTTCGATGATGACATTTGCTGTTCTTTTTTTTTCTTCCAGCTTTTGTCACAAATTCCTTAATGAATCCTATATGGATGGTTAAAACCCGGATGCAGCTAGAGCGGAAGTAAGTTACTAATTGTTGCTTCCTTAATTTGAGAATTCTTGGGGATGGCTTCCCCCCAGCCCCCACCATGGAGTGCGGTGCACGGGTCCTTGTCCTTTCCGACTGTGAGCACATGTAGCAGCTCCTTGTATTTGGGGGTCGTGCTCTCAAGCATCATGGGGGACAGAGACCAACAGGAAGGGTCGGGAGTTCGCTCCAGTGTGGCCCCTGCCCTACAGTGCCGACCCCCTCCAACTGTTGGGGGTCCCTGCTCTGTGCAGGCCCCACCCCAGTGGCCACTGTGAGCTCTCCGATAGGTGTGTCTCTTTCCCTTAGGAAGATGCCATCAAGGGCAGAGCAGCAAAAGCCTTCAGGCCTCCGAAGGGCATTGTCATCTGCAAGGCCCTGCCTGCGTGGGTGTCGGCCCTGGAACTTTTTCTCAGGCTTCAGACTCCTTTAGTGGCAGGGACGCCTGTAGCCCCGTATAGGACAGGATCAGTGGAAACCAGCTGTTGGAGTACAGTTAGTCATGGCTTTTAAATTGCAGTGTAGTGATACACCTACTTAATGTACTGAGTCAAGCACGGACCAGCTACGTAATTTCAGATAAGGGGTGATGATAAGTGAGGTTTTGGGATAGAATTCTGTCTAAGAACCCTGGGTAACTGTGTTGCCCAGAACCCTGTGGGCGGCACTGGAAACTTCCAGCAAATCCAGTCTAACTTTGAGCTACCTAGAAAGGAGAGGGCACAGAGGGAGAACTCCCGGAAGTGCACGTAGGGGGCTCTGTGGCTCCTTCTTCCTGATGGCCACAATGGCCTCTGCATTGGTCTTTGGTTCCGTATTCCCCCCACCCCTTCTGCCTGAAAGAACCCTCTGAAAAGCATTGGGTCCAACCTGTTTGAACAGATCACTTGCTTAAAATCCTTCGAGGAATCTCGGTTACTCTCAGGGCTAAATTCTAACGCCTTGGCTCACTGTTCAAGGTCCTTTGCAATTCCTAGAAAACACCATGCGCTCTGACGTGGTTGTGCCTGGAGCCAGCTGGCCCTGACCAGGACTCCCTTCACCCTTCATGGTTGTGCTGGCACCGACCTGTCCTTCCGCTTCACACCGGCACCACTTCCTGGAGACCTTGGGCCCTTACCCCCGATCCCGGGTGTGCTCAGAGCCCCTCTTCTGCTTTGCTGCGGATACGTGCTCACATCGGCTGAGAGCCGGCACGTACAGCCTCGTCCGCGTGGGCCTGTGAACGTGCCCTCGACTGGGAGTGTCTCTGGTGCACTTCCCGTGCGCTACTCGCTGGGAAGAAGCAGCACGGAGAAGGCACAGGCCCCACCTCACCGAAATGCGGCTTCACAGAAAACAGACTCTGTCCTGGTGGGGTGAGGGTCCTGAGCATGTCAGGACCGGCAGGGTCCCCGACACAGGCCAGGCAGGAGGGACAGCGAGGCAGCTGGCGGGCCCTCCTGCAGCAGCGACATCCACACTGCCATCTGAGAAAGAGCTGGCATTGAGGAGGGCTGCAGGCAGAGAGCTGTGTGCCCAGAAAAACCTGGAGTCTGGGGAGCTGACAGGAGGGACGGTGGTCAGGGTGCACCACGAGTGAAAGCGCTGGAGGGGAAGGGAGCTCTGGGAAGGAAGGGCTGGAGAAGTGAGCGGGGCTCGTCCTTCCAGCCCTGCAAATGCATTTGGAGTTGGACCTGGGCTTTGCTTGGAGGGCCATCAAGAGTCATCAGAGTGGTCGTGGGTGGCCCCAGGGAACATTTGTCAATGTCTGGAGACGTTTTTAGTTGTCACACTTAGGTGAGGTGCTGCTGGCATGGAGTGGGTAGAGGTCACAGAGAGTACTAACAACCCCACAGTGTACAGGACAGCCCCTAGCTGTGAATTCCTGGGCCCCAGATGTCAGTGGTCACCAGGCTGAGAAAGTGCACGAGAGGGGGCTAAACAGGGAGTGATTGGATTTGCTCTGGAAAGGTCCCCCAGCTAGGGTGCAGAGAACGGCCTGCCTGCGGAGACCTGCGGAGACTGATGGAGCAGGAGGGGACTTGGTGACAGGTGTGAACACTGTCAGGTCCCAGGGTTCAGTTTGTGTGTCTGGGTGGTCTCCGACCACTTTCCATCAGGGGAGGAACAGCAGGCCTGGGGCTCTTGATCAGTTGCCTAGTCTCTTTGGTGTTCACAGTTTTGTGAGGTTGGATGTAACCAAGTCCAACTGCTCCGTTCGGAGACGAGCGGTAAGAAAGAGCGCCCGTACTCTCTCCCAGCCGGCGAAGCCTGGTGAGGTGTCCTTCGGTACTTCCTTGAGGCCCGCGCCCCTGCCGTGACTGTCGTCATGCTTCCTTCTGTCCAGCCTTCCACGTCACGCACTTCCCTGTGCCTTCCTGCCTTCGCAGCAGTTTTAATCTGGCACACGTACCGCAGCTTATTGTCTGGGTCTATTTTTAGGTATTTGCATGGTTTTGATTTAGTTCTCTTTCCCCTGTGATGAATGACTTCCTCCATATAGCTCTTTCCAGATCAGGTCAGAGGCTATGAACGTGTGTTTGGTGTGTTTGGGACTCTCACACAGCCGCACACGCTGTCTGTGGGCCTCGGGCTGGGCTCCCTGCCCCCAGTGCCCGGGGACACATGTTCCACGCTGGTTTCCTTTGCATTCGGCAGTCAGTGTTGGTGCCCGCTCACACGTGTGTTCTGACGGCCTGTCCTTGGTCTGCTTCCCCAGGGTGCGCGGCTCCAAGCAGATGAACACGCTCCAGTGTGCGCGTCACGTGTACCAGACGGAAGGCATTCGAGGCTTCTATCGGGGATTGACTGCCTCGTACGCGGGCATCTCAGAAACTGTCATCTGTTTTGCGATTTATGAAAGTTTGAAGAAGTGTCTGAAAGATGCCCCGTTAGCCCCCTCTCCAAAGGGGGCTGAGAAGAATTCCACAAACTTTTTTGGACTCATGGCAGCTGCTGCTGTCGCTAAGGGGTGTGCCTCCTGTGTTGCCTATCCACATGGTACGTGCTGCCTCCCCGCAGGGAGACAGCTGTCCGACTGCAGTGCAGACGCCTGCAGGTGTCGGCAGAACCGACTCCAGGGGCCTCAGCCTCCGCCCAATGCGCATGCGTGCAGGTCGTGCCAGTGGCCGCAACTCGGCATCACTCAGCCCCAGCTGATGTCCCCAGAACTTGCTGTGCAGAATGTGGGCCTGGCATTGCGGAACTTCCAGTGATTTCAAATAAGCCAAAAATCTGGATTTTATTTTAAATCCTTCTATTAAAAAATGACATGGGAGCCAAACTTTAAAAAAAAAAATCTCTCAGCTTTCACTTGGAGTGCTGAGTAAAGCTACTTCGGGGTTTATTTTTTAAGGAATTGTAGACCTGATGTCCTTCTGACCTACTATTTTAAAAATAGCTTTGTTTATTGTGCCATGAAAAATGGGCTTTGTTTTCAAAAGCCTCCCATACTCTCAGCTCTGACAAATGTGTGTGGTGAGCTCAGTGATAGGTAACTGAGGCCCGGTGTGTGCCAGGGCCTCTTGTGGCTTCAGGGCTGGTTGAGAAGAGATCCAGGAAGCTCTGGATAGGCTCCCTGGTAGGGAGGGAGGAGCTTGTGCAGAGGTGGGCCTGGTGGGCGGAGCCAGGCCTTGTCCTGCTGTGGCACAGGGCAGGGGAGGGCCAAGTGGGCGGAGGCTTGGAGAAGGAGGAGGAGGCAGCATCTGAGCTGGTCAGGCAGAGAAGGGTTGGAGGAGGAGAAAGCTGGGGGGTGCCTGGAAGAAAGTCTTGGGGAAGATACTGCTGTACTTAATACAAACTCCAGCTTCAGTGAAATTACAGTGTTCGCTTAATCAGAAGTAGAAAACCAGAAACCATCTTAAAATTGGTCCCATTCAAACTAAGATTTTTTAAATCCCTTTCAAGTTATTTTGTACTTTCGTATGTACATCCCTAATTGGCCATTTCCCAGAGTTAGAAAATGTTCTCAACAGATCTTCCTGTTCATTGTCTCTGGGGCCACTCGGTCCAAACAGGAGCAGGGGTGGCAGAGCGGCAGAGCTGGCCTTTGAGATGACTCCTCGTGTGGCCTGGGAATGCAGTTTACTTGCCGCATAAAAGCATGTGTGTCTCTCTGCAGAAGTCATAAGGACGCGGCTCCGGGAGGAAGGCACCAAGTACAAGTCCTTCGTGCAGACCGCGCGGCTGGTCTTCCGGGAAGAGGGCTACCTCGCCTTCTACAGGGGACTCTTCGCGCAGCTCATCCGGCAGATCCCGAACACCGCCATCGTGCTGTCCACCTATGAGCTCATTGTGTACCTGCTGGACGACCGTCCTCAGTGACAGGCCAGAGAGTTGTGCTGTAGGAGAATAAAACTGAGAAACTCGATAGAGAAATTTTTTTTTCCGTTGATGTTTAGAATGTTCGAGACCGAAACAGGAAAGGCCACGAAAAATGTGGCTCATGTCACCTGCTGGACATTTCCTTTTGGATTCATGTTTCTGGAAGGTTTAAATTCATTAACGTTAATAGTTAATTATAACTTTTTTTTTAACTTAAGAGGATTCAGGATTCAGCAGCAACTAAATTAAATCATGCTATTTAATTTAAGTATAAATTTGGCTTGTGTTCTCCTTCATGTTCACTGTACTGGAAACTGTGGGACTTCAGTGGAATGTAACCCTAAAAGGCAGACGGAACCTCCGAAGTGAAGGTACAGCTGTTCTGTGACCTGTCCGGTATTGCACGGGACAGTAGGGGGCGTCACGTTTTGGTGGCACGGGGCAGATGGGACAGACTGCCTTGCTATTCTCCTTTGTACATTCCCAAGTCTCATGCAGATTAACAATCCAAGCTTTCAGGCTGCTGAGTTTTCTTTTGAAAAAATCTATGACTTTCTGACATTAAATATTTTGAACGGCATGCACTTTCCTGGAGTTCTCCTCTATCCCCAGTTTGAACCAAGGGTAAGAGTCTTCCAGAACCGTTTACCAGTGGCCTCGTCCGTGCGTATTATGTTCAGGAGGTAAGCCTAGTCAGGCCCAGGTCCTGTGTAGGGATGTCAGAGTGCGGCCGCCCGAGCGGCCGGCCGCGAACATGGGATATTGGGGGTGATGCAGCCCCTCTGACGGTGCGGGCCCTGTTCTCGGGTACCTGCTGCTGGGGGAGAGGAGCATGACCCAGGCTAACTGGAAGTGGTAGTGATGTTTAAATACCCTAGTTTAAGAAAAATGTTTTAATCCTAGAAATGAGAAATTACCAGAATTGCAAACCTACCCTGCCGTTTTAAAAGGAAATTTAATATGGGACAAAAGCTAAGACAAGGCAGGTAAGGTGGACTGTCCTCCTTCAGCTCTCTCCCTGGACTTCACACATCCTGCCCGTGGGGTTCTCTTTCAGTCTGAGTGTCTGGGAAGGTACGACTCACAGCCACACGCGGAGTTTCCACAGGTGGAGTTTCCACAGGCGCAGGACCCTGGTGGGGATGAGAGGAGGGTATTTTCTAATCACACCTAAATTGAGTTTAATTTCGTTTGCCTTTCATCACAAAGGAGGTTGTCGGGTGGTGGTGAGCTCTCTGGTAGAATTTGCTTCAACCATCAACAGCTATGTAGAAGTCAACGTAAATGTGTTCATTCATGCTTCAGTGCTTCCAAAACACGTAACTGTAAAGAGACTTCTGTTTAAGAACCTCATTTTTTAAAAAAGATTTTATTTATATTTACTTATTTTTAGACAGAGGGGAAGGGAGAGAGAAATATCAATTTGTGGTTGCTACTTATGCACCCCCTACTGGGGACCTGGCTTGGGACCCAGGCATGTGCCCTGACTGGGAATCGAACCAGCGACCCTTTGCTTTGCAGGCTGACACTCAATCTACCAAGCCACACCAGCCAAGTCCAGAACCTCATTTTAGCAACTGTTTGATGTGGCACTTAGCAACATCTTCCTGTTTTAATATTCATATTAAAATCTGACTTTTTTCCTCAAGATTTTAATATGAAAATTAAAAATTAGGTTGCTTAATATTCACTATTTGGGTAAGAATTATTTCTAAGTAATTTTCACTTACACTTATTTAAATTAATAAATTTGGTGTTGATCTGGTACAAGTTAGCTCTCTGTTTGCTTCTCCAACATCAGGGCACTGAAATGCAAGCAACATGGGCCCCCAAAATTGGGTGAGAACAGGCAGGAAAAAGTGATACTTCCTCATAAAGGGGTTTGTTGAGATTTTAATGGGAAACGCCACTGTTGGAGCTATCCCACGCTGGCTTTCTCTGTTCTCCAGCAGCTTAGTTGTTGGGGTTTTATGATGTTTAAGTAATATAATACGTTTATGTAAAAGACTTTAAAGACTCTCACTGCGTAAGGTATATATTTTCTCCTTTAAGTTATTCCCAACAACCTCATGAGGCAGTTATTATCATCATCCACATTTTACAAATAAGAGGCTCAGAGACACGCACAAAGTGCCTGCGGTCTCGCAGGTGGTCAGCAGGAAGCCGACCAGCAGCAGGGTCTGTGCTCCTGTGGAGGAGTTGAATGGCAGGTCGCAGGGGCAGCCGAATCTGCAATGATTGGAGTTTGGGGCCAAGTTCCAGCAAACCATTCCATTCAGTTCCCTTCAGGACTGTGCGTCCACTGGCATGGTCCCCACAGAGCTGCACTGGATCCGGCCCAGGACTGAGCCCTTCCCTTGAGTGGGATGCTACGTAGGTGCTGAAGCTTCCTCGGAAAGGCGATGGTGCTGAAGCATGGCGCCGCCTGTTTAGAGGGCAGCTTCACTGCCGATCCTTCACTGTGTTCAAGGCTGGGGCCAGCGGCAAGGCTGCAAAGCGAAGAAAGGCCTTTGCTATGGCAAGAATGAGGAGCTTCCCCTGCAGACTCTAGGGGCCCCCAGGTTCTGTGTGGGCTCCCTTCCCCCTCCGCAGGCAGCTCTTTACTAAAGCACATGACTGGGTGTGGGACAAATTAACCTGCCACAGGAAACCCCGCAAATAACCCATTGCTGTGCAACAGGGAGAACTCTTAATAGTGACCCCCAAAACACTGGAAAGGTGAGAACACCAAAACATTGTGTAAATACAAATATTTCCTACTACTTTCTTTTCAGTTATAAAAGTTATTTAGCCAAAATCCAGCATACTAAAAACACCTGCATAAAACGAAGCTTCCCTGTTAATCCCACCTCGTGGAAGTAACTAGTTAATTTTAACCATCCTCTACTTCGGATAGCGTCAAAGTTAATGCGCATGTTGCTTTTTGAACACTGTATCATCCCTCCAGTCCAATCCCTATAGTTCTGACATTCTAATAGTTGTATTATGTTCAGATGTATGGCTGTCCTATGATTTATTCAATCTTGTCCGTTTCTGTAAATTATTCTTAACCATTGGCGTGGCTGCAGTGGAAGTGTGTTGAGCAAACCAGCATTGCACACATCGGCCGCGTTTGGCTAGGCGTTGGGAAAACAGAACCAGCAGAAGCAATGGCTAGTTCCAATCAGTCCGGTAGCCAGATATGCTAAAATTGGCGAACGAGAGCGGGAGCAGAATGCGCGGGGCCCGGCTCCGCGCCACATCCCACCTCCGGCCGCAAGGAGGCGGGGGCGGGCCACCACTTCCCCCTGGCGCCCCGCCCACCGAGCTCGACCCACTCCCCTATTGGCTGCGCGGCGGGAGCGCGCCGAGTCAGGGGGCGGGCCCGCGCCGGCTACAAAGCGACGAAGGTCACGGCGCGAGGAGGTGCGCGCTGCCGCGCCCCGCGATTCGCCTGCGGCCCTCCCCCGCGTCGCCGCCTACTGCCCGCCACCTCCCGCCCGCCGACCGCCTCCCGCCGACCGCGCGGGGAGCCATGGAGGGAGTGAGCGCGCTGCTGGCCCGCTGCCCCACGGCCGGCCTGGCCGGCGGCCTGGGGGTCACGGCGTGCGCCGCGGCCGGCGTGCTGCTCTACCGGATCGTGCGGAGGTGAGTGCGTGCGGCCCTTGTGGCCTCGGCCCGTCGCCCCCAGCCGCCTGCCTGCCGTCCTCAGACCGCCGCCCTCCCGCCTCTGCGGGTCTGAAGACGCACGGCGCCTCCCTACCGGTGCCCAGCGAGGCCTCGTCATTGCAGTGGGGGGCCGGGCCTGTGTACCCACGTGCTAATACTCGCTCTGCACGTCCCCATCCCCCAAAAGAAGACGGATTTAAAATGCTTATCCCGAGGCGGCTGTGGTGTGGGTTGGGGACCCCAGGAATGCGGGGTAGGCGACAGCACCTATCACGTGGTTACAAACTTCCTCCCCCATGGAGACCTGAGCTGGCCGTGCTGCAGGATCTGCAGCCGCCCACCCCCGCCCCACGAACTCCCACCCGGGCTCCCCAATCCCCGCGGGAGAACCCAGCGGCATCGCACTGCGCTCTGACTGCTTTCCGCCCTCAGCCCCGCCCCTGGTCCTCGAGAGCGCGTCAGGGTGGCAGGATAGTAGGTGGCACTGGGGTCTGCTACTCTGTCTCTGGCATTCTGATCTCACGTTAGCACATTTAAGAGTCAGAATCCCTGCTCCCTTTAGAGAAGCAGGAGAGCTTAAGTAAGCTATTACTAATTGGAAGGGTCAGGGTGTCATCTGAGGGGGTCTGGCCCTGGAGCCTGCATTCCTAACCGCTGGGATATCCTGCTTCCAAGAGCAGGGAAAGCCTGGTCCACCTCAAGGGTGTTCCCAATGCCCTGGGGCTGCTGCTGAACTGGTTCAGGCCCACACCCAGCCCAGGCTGCGCTCAGAGATCATGCCCACCCCCATTCAGAGCCAGCCCGTCTGGTGGACCTTCACCATCACGGCCAAAAGCTCGCTTCAGCAGAGACTCCAGCAGCCTGACTGTCTCCCCACCTGATCCACCTTCCCAGGGGACAGGGGGAAAAGAAGGAGTTGTGAGGACATTCTGGGGACACAGTGGATTGTTGCTTCAGCAAGGAACATGTGAAGCTCAGAATTTGGGTGGAAGATGCGAAGGTACCTTCCTACAGTCACTTGGCACAAGCCGTGGAGCTGGAATTTGAACCTGGGCAGTTTTGCTGTTCCTCCTTAACCATCAGCATGTACTGCTTATCACCGAAGAGGAAAAGAAGTGAGGGTGCTTGGGGGAGGAAGGGGTAGGAGGGACATCAGCTGTGTCTGCGGGAGGAGTCAGACCCACAGGCTGAGGAGGGAGGGCAGTTGGGGGTTTAAGAAGCCCTTAACTCAAGGAATCCCTGACAACCCACATCTCTAGTGTCCCAGTTCCATCCCGATTTCTGGAAGCTGGGAGGGCTTGTGGGACCAGCTGGTTCAAACCAGTCATTCTATACATGAGGGGACTGAGGTGCAAAGTGCTTTGCTCAAGTTCCAGAGCATGTTGACACAGAGGTGTGGACCCAGATTTGTGTCCTGGACACTGCTGCCTCCCAGCCAACCCAGGACAGGGGGTGTCCCGCAAGGAGCAGAGCCTGGGCTGTACCCAGCTGTGCCACGCCTCCTTTGCCTGTAGCAGGGCTGGATGGGGACCATGTCTCATGCTCCTGTGTCGTGTGCTTCGGCTGTTCTCAGGTGGCCAGCCACAGCTTTCCCTCTCCCAGAGATGGGGCTCCAGGGCCTTCCCACAGAGCTGGGCAAGCTGGGCAGGGGAGCCAGGAGGGTCCTGCGAGGCGTTGCACTGCAGCAGCATTAGGGGTCTGGTGGCCTGGGGACCTGCTGGGCTGAGGAGGACCCGCCCTTCCCTGAGTGCTCTGAGGTGCTCAGAGAGCACCGCTTGGCTTCCGTCTGGGGGTCCCAGAGGGGCTACCATCACAATCGGAAACAAGACCAGCCCTGCAGAGACTGTACCCTTCTCCCCCCAGGGAGGGGAACCCTGGGACAGAGAGGACAGGTGGCGTTGGCTGCAGCAAGGGTTTTTTTTTTTAATGACCCTCTGGAGGACATGTGAGGAGAATTGTTCGTGGTGGGTGTTTGCAGGCTCAGCACAGGTGGAGGGGAAACTGGCCAAGGGGCCGAAGGAAGAGGTTCCCTCCCCGAAGTGCTCCCAGAGCCTCAGGCAGGGCCCGCCTGGCTTCCACACGTGTGCAGTTCTCCTGACCTGGTTACTGTGAATGATCCAGTGCCAATGATGATTCAGTGGGGAAGCACATTCATGCTGCCACCCGGTGCGACCTGGTGCGACCTGGGGGGCAGGTGCCACCGTCCTCCCCTTTCTACAGCTGAGGAAACGAGGCTTGGTGTGTTGGGCTTCCTGCCCTTTGGCACCCAGCTGTCCAGGGCAGTCCCCGCCCCTGCCAGCCCTTCAGCCCCTAACCAAGCCTGGCCTGGAGCTCTTGGCTGCCCTCTGCATCCGTGGGAGCCCATGGCCATCAGCACCTGCACGGGTGGAAGCCCAAATCACACTCCCATGGACCTGCTCACGCTGGGTCTGGGCAGTCGTCATGGCTTCCCGAGCCCATCCCACCCCCAGGCCCTGCTGCTCTGCATTGCATCCAGGATCCAGCCTTGCCAGCATGTCCCCCGCTGGGGACCTCGGGCCACCCACAGCACCCAAAGGTGTCTATTGGCTTGTTACCGAGGGGCTGCAGCTTTTGGGTTGAGCAGCAGAGCCCTCCTTCCACGCTCTCCTGGTGCCGCACTCTGGCCGAGGGAACCCATCTATCTGCCTGGCAGCCCCGCCTGTTTGAATGCCATCTGTTCCTTTTGCCCTGCTGGCCAGCAAACCCGTGCCTTAGGGTGACAGCAGATGCTCCACTTGTTGGCCTCTCTCTTGTGGCATCTGTCACCAGCTGCCCCTCGAGGTCATTATTCTTGTCATCGTGTCCAGGTCGGAAGAGGAGAGCTTGCTCCTTTCTGCCCCTCTGTAAGCCTGGCTCAGTCAGCATGAGGTGAGTGGGGGTCCGCCCGCTCCAGGCCAGGTCTGCCCCCAGAGAGGTGGGCTTGCAGCCTCCAGAAGGGTGGCAGGGGTGCCATGGACTGAGGTGTGTCTGCCCACAGGCCCACTGCTTCCTGGTGGCAGTTTGATGCCGCTGTCACTGCAGAAGGCACTTCCTTGGATTCTCGCTGTTGGGTGGGATGATGTGGCTCAGAGGAGCAAGCAAGGAGCCCCTCACCTGTGAGACTGCCTGGGTGTCACTGGGGGGCCCTGCCAGAGGCTGGCCTCTTGGTCCCTGACTCATCCAGGCCACTTTCCAGACCCTGCCAGGCCAGCGCACGGGCCCAGGGTCTACCGCTCTGTGCCATGCCCCTTTCAGGGGAGGCCGGGCACCTCTCAGGGCCTGGTGAAAACTAGTGCACACACTGGCCTCCCCTGGACTCTGAGCCCCACCCCGTGTCTTCTCTGTGTGGTGCAGCCCGGACCCACGGCAGGTGCCCGGCCTCTGGCAGGGTCCGGGGCCAAGGGCCTGGAGCTGCAGCCCTCGGGGGTGGTCTCACTCCTCCAACGCTCCCTCCCTGCACCTGCAGGGAACGAGGGGGGGGTTATGAGACACGAGCTTCGTTGTGTGCAGTGTCCGTGGTGGTCAGGGCAGATGGGGTGACACTGTTATTAAGGGTACGTGTTCGTCTTTTCCTCCCCTGCGCGTATTCAGGCTTGGGGAGGGCTGCGTCCGGAGCGTGCCTTTTGCCCCTACCCCCCGTTCGCCCACCAAGAGCTCAGCACGGGGGCGGTGCAGCGGGAGCTGGGTGAGCACCTGCTGGGACCGACACTGCCTCACAAGGGGACATTCTGTCTTGTCACATCAGACCTTCTCCACTAAGAGTGCTTGGTCCACTAAGAGCCTTGCTGGGGCAGAGGTTTTGGCTTGGGGAACAGTGGGTTGAGGGGTTCACGAGGACAGTTGAGGGGCATTTCCCCGAGCAAGAGCAGGACCAGGGTTAAGCTGGCTCAGAACAGATGGGCCCACACCTTCCCAGGGAGGGCCGGATGGAGGTGGGTGGGAGGCCCAGGGGCCACGACCCCAGGGCTGGGCCGTGAAATCAGCTGCTGGGTGTCATCCCCAGACACAATTCACATCTGCTCACATGCATGAAGCGAGGGAGGCCCCACGCTGGTGCAGGGGCTACAGTTCATGTCCAGCTCCCCACCGCTTTGCTAGCCCCTCTTCCTCTCATGGGCCACAGACCCTTGCAGGGCTTGACCCAGAGGGGCTGTGGGAGACAACTCCCTGGCTGTCACTCTGGCCAAGAGAGAGGACCCTTCCCCACACTCACACCCTGGGCAAGAAATTACCAGGGGCTGAGAGTGGCAGGAGCTGGAGCCACTGACCCCAGGGACCAGGGCTAATACTCCTGCCTCCCCGCCGCCAGCTTCCGGGCCCGGCTGATTTCCCCAGCAACAGAGCTGGAGATTCTGAGCAGAAATGGTGACCTCTGGGGGCTGCACACCTGCTGCTGCTCCCTGGGGTGGGGTCTTCCTCCCCTTCCTCGTCTCTTCTCTCTCTATTTGTAGGCTGCTTGGATTCGGTCCTGAGGCCGGGTGTGGTGTGCTGGGGCTCTGGGGGGAAAGGGCTGAAGGGCCCTTTGTGAGGCCGAAGGGCCCCAGGGGACAGGTGATACAGGTCACCCGTCTGCATCGCCACCCACTGGGACATGCCCTGCGCACTGGGACGTGCCCTGTGCACGGGCACAGAGAGGCCTGTGAAGCAGGTGCTGATGAACAGAGAGGTTGCCCAGGTGCCAGGTGCCGGCATCCAAGTGAGTGGAGCGGTGCCCACACCTCCAGCCGGGGCTGAGCCTCCTCCATTCACGCTGTTTGCGTGAAGCGCAGTGAAGCTGTCACAGGGCCAAGTGGTGACCCGATTCCCGGGCTCACACGTTTCCTAATCCTCTCCGGTAGCCTCTCTTTGGGGCAGGGATTGCCATTATGCCCAGGGGGCAGAATGACTTCCCCAAAGGCCCTTCCTGTGACCAGGGTACTGCTCTTTCCATTGACAAGCTGTGACCTGACAGCCCCTTGCCCACAGCGAGGGGGTGCGTGGCCTGGGGAGGCGGGGCGACCCCGGCTGTCCTCTGTGGACCCTGGGCCCTGCCCCGTGGCGGCTGGTCCCGTCTCCTTCGTCCGTCTCCAGCATGGTTTCAGTTTAAGGGGCTTCTGGAGGGCACTTCCTGAGCCTCTTCCTCTCTCTCTGCCCTCCCCACGTAACTACTTTTTTATTGGGCTTTTTGGCCAGGCTCCGCTGCGCACCTCCCCCACACAGCCCCCAGGGAGGGGCTGTTCTTGTGCCCAGCGCGCAGGCGCTGAGACTGAAGCTCTGAGAACTCTTGTAGCCTGCCTGCGGCCCGGGAGGGGCCGGGCAGGAGGCAGCTACAACACGTGGAGTCAGGGCTCTGCTCTCAAGGGACAGGGCAGTGACAGCTGCCCTGTCCCAAAGCACTTATGTGTGTCGTATGTCATTGGAATCTTGTCACACCGGTGCCCCGGGTGCTGTGATTTCACACTTTGCAAACGCAGCCCTAGGCAGGCAGACGGGGGGCTCCCCAGGGCCCACATCTGGAAACTGGGGTGTGTCCCACTGTGGGCAGCAGGGTGGTCTGGCTGCCCACCACAGTAGGGTCCAGGCGGCACCCCCAGAGCTGGAAGTGGCCTGGCCGACCCTGGGGCTCACGTAGCTGCCTCCCATCCCCCACAGCATGTGGAGGTTCCTAGGACTGGAGGGGTCTGCCAGGCAGTGGCCGTGCACACCCATAGACGGTGGGGGGGGGGGCGGCAGGAGGGGCCAGGCAGGCATCCCCTGGCGTCTGGGCTGGGATTACCCCTCAGACCCCACCTGTCACCACACTTGTGGCTGGGGAGGCCACCGTGGCGTGCCCACTCTGCTCTGTGGACCAGAGAGGGTTGGCCCCTGGCCAAGCAGCTGTCTCCAGTCCCCACCCCTCCGCCTCCTTGGCCCGAATCCTAGGGACGTCTTCTCTGTGAAGCACAGGAGGCTTCTTCCGTTGGGAACACCAGCTCCCGGAGCCTGGAAGCGGGCCTGGCAGTCGGTCCTAGACCCTGGTCACTGTCAGCCCCCAGGCCTGCACCCCGAGATAGCAGGGGCAAGTGGCCCTAGGTCCCCTCAGGGGCATGCGGGAACCCAGGGATCTGGTGAGTGTCAAGACACCTAGGGTGTGGCAGCTTCTCCTGGAGGGCTGAGCCTGAAGCCTCGTGGCCTCCGTGTTGGACTTTCTGGTGGACGCAGAATGTCCAGGCGGGATTCTTGCCCTGCCAGGTCCTGCCGCCGGCATCCCTTCCCTGGTTTCTGTGCTCAGAGCGGGGATGTGCCCATGCCTCCCTACTAACTCAACTCTTCCCTTGCACGCAGGTCACAGCCGACACACACGACCGTCAACTGCTGGTTCTGCAACCACGACACAGTGGTGCCCTATGGGAACCGCAATTGCTGGGACTGCCCCCACTGCGAGCAGTACAATGGCTTCCAGGAGGTGCGCCCCGGCCCCAGGCCCTCTTCCCACCCTGTCCCATCCAGGGCCTGGCAGGCTCGTGCCCTCACCACAGCCCTGGCCCTGCACCTGTCCTCTGAGGACGAGGAAATCGGCCCAGGGAACCGAGGTGATGTGTCCTGAGTCACGCCGCTGAAATTGGCAGCCTGGGGTTCAGCCCCAGCTTTGTGGCATGTGCGCTCTCTCTGCTTTGTGCCTGACCAGGGGCCGGTGGGCTCTCTGCAAAGGGTCGGGGAGGACATCAGGCTTTGCAGCCACACAATCTCTGTGCCCACAGCTCGCTCCACTGAGCCACCACACAAATGAGTACGTGTGGCTGCGGTCCAAGAGAACTCGGTCCTCAGTCACCGGCCCTCGTTTGCAGGTGCCTGCACCACACTGCAGCTCCAGGCTGCATTCCTGCTGGGAGCTGCCCTCTCGGGCTTCCTGTCAACGTTTCTGTGGCAGAAGAGCTTCTGCTGTTTGTTGTGTGGAAAGGGTGGGACCATCCGAGGCCTGCTGCCCCTCCGTGGGGTGTCGCCACCTGAGCTGCCGTGGAGGCTCACCCACCGGGTCCGAGCTCCCCGCCGACTCTGTCCCTCCTCCCCCAGAACGGCGACTACAACAAGCCGATCCCCGCCCAGTACCTGGAGCACCTGAACCATGTGGTGAGCAGCGCGCCCAGCCCCCGTGCCCCTCCGCAGCCCCAGCAGTGGGTGAGCAGCCAGGTACTGCTGTGTAGGAGGTGCAGCCACCACCAGACCACCAAGATCAAGCAGCTGGCTGCCTTCACACCACGCGATGAGGTGAGGCCGGGACGGGGTGGCTTGGGGGACGAGGGGGGCCTGGGCTGCCTCCAAGCACGCGCAGGGCCCTCCTGACAGCTCCGGGGGGGGGGCCCTCCCCATGCCGGCCCCATATTCCGGGCGGGTCATCTTCCGCCGCTGGTTGGAGCCTGCTTCCGCTCCCCTCTGCCTCCTGGTCCCTCCTCTCTTGGCTCCATGCCTGGGAGCATCGTGGTGACCTGCAGTCTGCCGGTCCAGAGGGGTCTGTGCTGGGCAGCAGGTAGCTCTGGCTGGGACTTCAGGAGGAGTGGGGAGCTGGGTGCTGCCGAGAAGCTGGACGGTAGGAGTTTGTGTGCCCCGGGTCCGCCGTGGAACCCGAGGCAGCCTTATGACCTGGCTGGTCCTGCCTTCCCACCTGAGGACCAGTGCTTGTGACCTCAGGAGCTGAGACCCAGAGCTGCTGGCTTTCCCAGGGCCCAGCCTGGGATCAGGGGCAGAGGGAGGGAAGCAAGGGCCAGACAGGGAAAGGTGGGGAACCTGCCAAGAGAAGGGGACACGTGTGACTTGGAAACCAGGGCAGCTTTCCTGGTGAGTTTGGTCTCTGCAAGGTAAGGTCAAACCGAGAAGCCTGCTGGCCGCTGCAGACTGAGGTGATGGGCTGCCCTGGAAATAGGCAGAAGAGCGTTGCCACATCCTTAGGAGGAGGAAAGGGGTTGGACTCGGTCTTCCAGGCTATTCCTGAAACCCCGGGGACCCTGTAGCTCCCATGGAGACCAGCCAGGGCCCCCCAGTGCGTTCTAGACCCAGAGTTTACAGGACAGAGGTCTGACCAGGGAGTCTGTCTGCCCAAGTCTGGGCAGCGGCAGCCCAGAGCCGCCTCCTCCTCAGCTTGCTACCCTCCTGGAGTGCCAGGCCAGGCGCAGGGCCTGAAGCAGGGACCACGGTGAGAGCCCCTGGCTTCCACGGGCATCCTCTGGAGCATAGAATTTGGCTGAAGTGTCTCCTATCACTGTGGGTCCCTGCTGTGCCCTGGGCCTGGGTGTGGGCCAGCCCTTACCCCCGGTAGCCGGTGTCACCGTACTCAGCACACTGTTTGTCCTGCTGGGCAGTGGAAGAAGCAGGATCGGGGGCAGCTTTCCCTTGGTCGGTCACCCCACTTATGTGAGCTCAGGTTCAACACACTAGACGGGGTAGCCTCAGCCGAGCCAAAGACCCCGAGCCTCTGCCCCCAACCCGACAGGGCAGGTACGACGAGGAGATCGAGGTATACCGGCACCACCTGGAGCAGATGTACAAGCTGTGCCGGCCGTGCCAGGCGGCCGTTGAGCACTACATCAAGCACCAGAACCGCCAGCTGCGTGCCCTGCTGCTCAGCCACCAGTTCAAGCGCCGGGAGGTGGACCAGAGCCACACGCAGGTCTGAGAGGAAGCGGGGTGCCCATGGGGCATTTGGGGTGTCCCAGCCCTCAGGCTTGTGCAGGAAGCCCCCTCACAGAGGGTGGGCCCGCTGCCAGAGCGCAGTTCTCCAGAGCCGAGACCCTCTTCCCGGGGAGGCGCCATCCCATGGGGCACGTCTCTACCCTGTCCCCAGGCCCCTCGGTGCCAGCAGTCTCAGCGGGTGTTCCAGGAAGAGTGGCTCAGTATTGGGGCCCACCTGTCATCTGCGTGTTTGCCAGGGTGTGTGTCGCCCGGCTGTGCCTGGGCACTTCCCCGCGCCTGGTGTTCATTCCCGCGGCGCCCTGTGGCGGCCACACACTTAGCTCCGGGGCTGCCCCTTGCAGCTGCAGACACCGCGGGGAGGTGTGGGGACCGCAGAGGGCACCAGGACTTGAGACCAGGACAGTTTGGCTGGGATTTTCTATCGTAATGTTCAGTTGGTAGAATGTTCCAGTTTTTAAAATATAGTAGCAAGTAAATCCAGACATAAAAACCACCCCTGGCTGGTGTAGCTCAGTGGATTGAGCACAGGCCTGCGAACCAGAGTATCACGGTTCAATTCCCAGTCAGGGCACATGCCTGGGTTGCAGGCCAGTTCCCAGCAGGGGATGCATGAGAGGCAACCATACACTGACATTTCTCTCCTTATCTCCTTCCTTTCCCTTCTAAAGATAAGTAAATAAAATCTAAAAAGAAAAAAAATACCACCCCCCAAAAAGAAATTGCTACCCACCCACTCGGGTCCCCAGATGTGCCCTGTGCCCAGTTGGCCTGTGGTTTCTGCAGCCAGGCCCCTGACCACGTGGCCGTGCCACCAGCCACATGCCCGTGCGTGCGTGCGTGGCGGGACACTTGGACCTGCGGTTGTCTCCTCACCGCCACGTTCCTGGACTGAACCGCTCATTGCTGTGTGTGTAACTTTGGCCAGAGTAGTCTCTGTCTCTATTACAATCCCAGTTAACGTCATAGTTGGAGTTTTTGGTGCGAATTTGGCAAATTATTGAAAATTTTATTTGAAAGGACAAGGTTCCATACTATGGAAAAAGCCTTCTTTAAGAATGTGGTAGTCCCCCACCCCCACACGGTCACGCTCTCAGTGGGGCAAGACCTGGAACTGGGCATCCAGGGGCTTGGTGCAGAGCCCAGAGCAGAGCCGAGCTTGTCCGAGAGTCTGGTGAAGTCGGCCTCACTGCTCACCAGGCCCCAGGGGGTTCTTCGGTGGGTGCCCTGGGGCCCTGGCCAGACCCCCGAGTGCAGGGTGGGCACCAGCCAGGCTGTTGGTAGTTCTGGCCATGCCGCTGACCAGCATCTCCCTCCCTCAGAGCTTCTGCTCGTCCGCGGTGAAGGCCCCGGCCCAGGTCATCGTGCTCCGGGCCCTCGCCTTCCTGGCCTGTGCCTTCCTCCTGGCCACCACGCTCTATGGCACCGGCGACCCCTTCGCCCCGGGGGGCACCCTGCCCCCGGCTTTGCCCCCTGGTGGCAATGGCTCCGCCGCTCCCGACAACGGCACTGCCCCTGGGGCTGAGGGCTGGCGCCAGCTGCTGGACCTACTTCCAGAGCACGGGGCGGAGAAGCTGCGGGAGGCCTGGGCCTTCGGACGGAGCCACCAGACCGGCGTCGTGGTGCTGGGCCTGCTCACCTGCCTGCTGGCCATGCTGCTGGCCGGCCGCATCCGGTGCGTGGGGAGACCAGCCTCGAGTGGGGCTCAGTGGGAGGGCTGAGCTCGTGTCCGAAACACCACGCGTCCCTCCTGTCAGCAGCTGGGCGTCTGGTGGGCAAAACCAAACAGTGATTTGGCTTTGGGGGAAGAGGTAGCAGCACACAGAGCAGGACCCCAGGGCCACGCTTCGCCCCCTCGCCTTCCCGCCCGCTGCAGGTGCGGACCCTGGTCTGACGATGTCCCCGCCATCTCGATGCCTCTGGGGGAGGTTTCTGAGCCCCACAGTGTGGCTAGTGCGCTGGGCTCCGGGGGAACACCGACCCGCTCAGAGTCCTGTGGGTAGAAGTGCTGGGGGCCGGTTGAGAGACCCACGGGCTCCTCTGGGCTCCGGATCCTGTCCTCTGAGCCGGGTCGGGTGGAGGCAGGACAGGGTGGGACAGGGAGGGGTCTTGTCCTGCTGAGATGGGCCCTCACCCATGCCCCGCTCTCCCCGCAGGCTCCGGAGGATCGACGCCTTCTCCGCCTGCCTGTGGGCCCTGCTGCTGGGGCTGCACCTGGCCGACCAGTACCTGCAGGCCGCCTCGCCCAGCTGGCTGGACACCCTCAAGTTCAGCACCATGTCCCTGTGCTGCCTGGTGGGCTTCACAGCAGCCGTGGCCACAAGGAAGGCGACAGGCCCACGGAGGTTCCGGACCCGAAGGTCAGAGAAGCAGCAGTGACTGTGGGGGGAGGACAGATGGACAGACAACCCCAGAGTTTGGCCCCTGGCCCCAGGCAGGGCAATTCTCCACCCCCTTCCCAGTCCTGCCCAGCCTGGCGCCCCCAGGCCTGGCCCAGCACCTCCACCTCCCAGAGGAGGCAGGTCTGCTCCCTCCCCTTTCCTTTCTACACCAGTAAGTCATCCCCAACCTGAGACCTTGCCCGTGGCTGCTCACCACTGCCATGGTCTGTCTGGCCGAAGGCCCCTCATTGCCCTGAGGCCAGAACACAGGCGACACCCACAAAGCCTGTCTGTGACCTGTGGCTTCCCCGGCAGCTGTAGGCACTGCCATCCTGCCCTCAGACCCTGTGGGCTGAGGGCTGTGGGCCTGCCGTGTGCTCCTTCCTTCGCCAGCCCCTTCTCTGGGCTCCTGGCACAGGCCAGCTCCTGGGGCTGCAGGCTGGGCCCTTGCCGCGTGGCCTGACCAGTAGGGCAACTTGACACGGGCAGCTGCTGCTGAGCGGGCCCAGAGGACAGACCGCACTTATCCCCCACCACCTCCCTGGTCAGTCCCTTTGGGCCTGCCCAGTGCCCGGCCAGCCTGCCCGAGGCCACAGAAGGAGTCTGGGCTGGCCCCTGGGTCCGCTGCCCCGTTCCCAGACTGGCCTTGACCTTGAGTTTGTAGGGCAAGGCTCTTCTCATGGTGAATAGTGGGAAATCCTGCATCTGCTGTGGTCAGCAGGTTTCTTAGCAGCTGTGGTGGGAGTTTGTCAGGGCTGGGGAGCCTGAAAAGGCCTTTATGCATCTATTTCTTTGGCACGACTGGGCCAAGCAGACAGAACCAGGGCACGCATGACCTGTCTCCCCTCCTGGAGGCCCTTGACTCTGCCCTGGACAGTCAGGACCCCGACCCTCACGGCGGGGCCCGAACGGCTTTCATGGGCCCTGCCACCACCCTGATGCCGAGGATGTCCCCAGTCCTCCGCTCATCCCTCCATATGGTGCCCGGAAGACGATCCAGTTGCCCAAGGTTAGCACAGGATAGGCAGACCAAGGGACGTGCAGGTCCATGAGGATACCGGTCACTTGTCACTGGCCTGTCACTCTTCTGGAGGGCCCCTCACGGAGCCCCTCGGGAGGATGCTGAGACTCCGGCTTTCCACTTCCAGTGGGACAGGCACAGAGCCGGCAGGGGCCTCGGCCTCACTGTCCCTGCGTCAGGTGGGGGGGGCAGTGCTGCTCCAGAGCCCCACGGGGGACTGTGTCCTCCCAGACCCAGCACCGCAGGGGATGCTGGTATGTGACACACCCGCAGCTTGCTAGCTGTGTGGCCTTGCGGGTCTCCGCTGCCCCCAGCCTCAGTTTGCCATCCAAGAAAGTGCTGGCCTTGGCAGGGGCACACTGTGGAGACCGGGGGCAGGGCAGGAGGGCGACCCCTAAGCAGGGACACGGTCCCTCCAGGGTCCATGTCCTGCCACCCGTCATTCTGAGCTTAGGCCTCCCTCCACGCCGCGCATCAGAGCCCTGGGAAGGCAGAAACACGTCACACAGGCATGAGGGCCACCCTCCACGCGGGGCCACCGACCAACTGGGCCTGCAGGGCGGGTGGGACAGAGCCCGGCCAGACGCCGCCAGAGGTCCCAGACAGCATTGAGCCCACTGTCACCAATTAATGCTCGTGTTCGAGGGGTCCTAGGAGGGCCCCTCCCGATCCCATAGCCCTCCCAGCACCCACGTGTGAAGGGCCCCAGTGGGTCAGGAGCTGCCCTCACTCAGCTGTGTGGCCTCATGGAGGCGAGGTGGAGACACGCTGACCAGACGGGGAGCGTGGGGGTGGCAGAGCCCGGACCTGACCCTGCCAGCCTGTCCGCCCGTCCCTTCACCCCGCCAGTCTGCCTGGGAAGCTGACGGTGTGACGCTAATTACTGCTTTTCTGGGCATTGAGTAGAAGCAGGACGTCTGTGTGTATGTGTGTATTTAAGCTAAATTATTTATGAGAACTACGAGCAGCTCTCTAGCTGGCCAGGAGCCCTGCTGAGCAGACGCCTGGCCTTGCCCTCTGGCGCGGGTGGGAAGACGCCCTCGGGAGATGAGCCGCATCAGGGGAAGGCTTCCTGGCCGCCTTAGGGTTCCGCGTGACTTTGTGCAGTGACTTGTCTGTCCCTGAGATGGCCGTCACTTGGAGCACACTCCAGCACCTTCTGGTATCACTGGCACAGCCAGGAAGTACGGGCACCACTGGGCTTGCGATGTGTTAACAGCGAATGTGTTGCCCCTGCCAGTGGTCTCTGTCCCTGAGACTCTTCCCTGGTGGCTTCCTCCCTCCGGGGAGGAACCTGTCCCCGCTGTGACTGTGCTGAGTGTCTCGTCCCCTCTGGTCAGTGACGGAACTGCCGATGACTGTCTGGCGACTCTAATCACTGTAACCGCAACTCCAGCCGAGCCCTGCGTGTTTTGTGCTGTATTTTAAATAAATGCCTCCGGGGCCCTGCTCCGACCGGTGGGCGTCAGGTACCGCGTCTTTTTTGTTTTTTGTCTCCCGTTCCTTCCAAGGTTCCTGTGCCGAGGGTGGGGACCTTGGGCCACAGGCATTACCCACAGGAGTCAGGTTGGGGAGCTGGTGACATGGGTGTAGAAAGGCACAGGGCCCGGCCGTCCTGGAGCGCTCTGCTGGGTGGGATTCTCCCGTGGCAGTGTCGGGTGGGACACAGTACAAGCGCCCAGCCCTTCCTTTATCCCTGTGGGTGACAGACTCGGATGCTGGGCTGGGTGTCTGCCTGAGGTGGGACAGGAGAGCCTCGGGTGCAGCTGTCAGGGGCTGGCGGGGAGGGGGCTGCTTTAAGAGGAGGCTCCTGGGGGACTGTTCCCTGCAGGAGCTTGCACTTGGCACCTTGCAAAGACCCGGTAGTTGAGTGACGTCACTGGGTGTCACAGCGAGAGGGGTCAGACTGAAGAACTGCATTCCCCTCGGTGCCAGCATTTTTAGTGACATCAGAGATGAGACAGCACCTGTGTCACGTGAAACCAGCAGCTGGCTCAGACCCTCTTCTCTTGCTGCTTATTGGGGGTGGCCCTCAGGAGGACTGCCTGGTGGAGGAGGTGCAGGAAGCCACCTCTCCTCCGCTGCCATCTGCTGGGAGGGGCCTGGGTGCACCCTGTGCTGGTCAGGCTGCCGCTCCACAGGACACGCCTGGTCCTCCGGGAGGCGTGGCCTTGGCAGGGGCAGCTCTGTGTACGACCAGAGCCAGCTGGCCGCAGGGCCCGACATGCCTGGACTGCCCGTGTGGGGCCTAACGTTTCCCCCTCTTGACGAATGGTTTCAAATTCTGTCGTGACGTTTAAGGGTGGGGCCTTCCCCAGGTGTCCCGAGGGCAAGGAGGTGGCCGTCAGACAGGCTTCAGGACAGGTCAGCAGGTGCAGTGCAAGCACCTGCAGCCTCAGCCAGCCAGGGGCCCAGACCCTTCCTCAGCTTGGCTTGGTGAGCTCCTCCGGCCTTGATTTCTCCACGTCCCCAAACCCTGGACCTGCCTTTGGTTTTGAAGTCCCGGAGAGCTGCTGGCCCTTTGAAAGACATTAAAGAGGTCACATGATCACCAGCGAGGGCAGCACTGACCCTACATTTTCCTCGAGGCTTGTGTAAAGGGGGGACGAGGGTGAAAATGGCGTGGCACTCAGCAGAGTGCAGCTTGGCTGGCGGCACCCGGGTGTCCAGTCCCGATGGGCCCGGGTGGGTCCCTTAGCTTCCCCGGCTCTGCTGCAGGGCCTGAGCCAGCGTCATTTGCCCCTTGGGACCGAGGTAAGGCTGGACCTCCCGCAGCTCCGTCCAGATGGTGGGCGGACTAATGTATTAACTGTCTCTGCCCCTCCCCCTCTGTAATCGGTTGCCTTAATCAGAAGCATGGTTGACATTCCGGCTTGGGGCCACCAGGTCCTGTTGTGTGATCTGTACCATTCTCGAGTTAAAGAGACACTGTCACCTTCCGTCTTTTGAGCAGCCTCGTGGTTGCTTACGGGTCTTCTCTAAGTTCGAGTTTGGCTTGTGTGCTGCGTGTCTTTTCCTGGGGACCCTAAGCCTGGCCACCCTACCCCCCTGCTCTCCAAGGGGCTTTAGATTAGTGTCCAGCGTCTGAGGCCAGAGAGCGCAGTTGGACTCCCGGGGAGCAGGGCTCCTGAGCTCTGCCACTGTCAGGAGGCCCTGGGCGCGAGGAGGCGGGACAAGGAGGGGCCTGAGACCACCGGCCAACACCGAGCCTGGCCTGGTGCGGGGCTGAGTGTTGGTGCTTCAAGGCGGAGGGGCGTCGTGAGGTTGGCAAGGGCGACAGTGTCACTTTAATGCCGAGACTTGTAGTGGAACTAGTGTGCTGTGACGCTGAGGGGGATTGGAGGGGGCATGCGGGGAGGGGGGGTCATGCTGGCACCTCCCAGCCACCCGATCCTAATGGCGTGAATGTGGTCGGACTGCTTTTCCGCTTCAACTAACGCACGCCTCCTCCGGGGCCCGACTCAGGCCCCACCTTGCACGGGGGCGGGGGTGGGGGTGGACGCTGGGCAGAGGCCGCCTCCAGAGCCCCCCACGCTGACCCTCCTCCACTCCCCCTTGCCCACGGGCTCTTGCAGGTACCTCCCCGGAGACCCGGCCGGCCTTTTCCCCACGTACCCCAGCCTGGCCGTCCCCTGCCCGAGCGTCGCGGGCTCTTCTCCATCTCTGCTGCTCCACGCGCCACCCGGCTTCCTGCCCCTCGCCAACCAGCAGCTGTTCCGGTCACCCCGGCGGGCCTCGCCCTCCTCCCTGCCGGGCCGGCTCAGCCGGGCGCTCTCGCTGGGAACCCTGCCCTCTCTGACCCGAGCAGGTAAGAGGCGCTCGGGCACAGGCAGGCCGAGCTGGACCGGGGGCGGCTGGGCAGTTGGGACTCCTGCAGTAAAAATGGGAGGAACTGGGTTCAAGTGCTGCTGCATCCATTCAGGAGCTGCCCTGAGTCGAGGGACTGACTTCACTCTGAGCCTGGGTTTCCTTCAAGAAAAATGAGCCCCGCCCGTGGGTGGCCGAGGGTCAGCGAGACGATGGGTTTGAAGTGCTCACCAGGGCAGCGGCACCCAGTGGGCACTCGGCACAGGTCACACCCTCTGGGGCCCTCTTTTACCACCGTCCTTGCCCTGGTCGTCTCTGCTGTTGTTTGTAGGCCCGGGGACTAGAAATCCTGCTCTGGCCTTTCTGTGTGGTCCCAGGGGCAGGATTCAGTGCAGGTCAGTCACATGCACCGAGCACTGGCTGCATGGGGACCCTGGCGTGACCAAGACCTGGTCCTTGCCATAGAGACTGCCTCCTGCTTCACCCTTCCCCGCAGGCTCTTTCTAGAAAGGCCGTTGTGGATGCAACCCTGTTTTTCCTTCCCAGAGTGCTGCACGGTGTCTGAGATGGTCTTCTGTACTGGCACGGCCGCCTGGGGCAGGTGGGGTGTGCCTCACCCCGGGGGTCCTTGGAGCAGGCTCCCCGGGTCTCAGGCCTGAGGCTGCCGGGCAGGACCCCATCCTCTGAGAATGCAGGCGCCTCCTGGTCATACGAGGTCACTGACACACAGTCACGGTCCCACCTGAGCCCCTCGGCAGCTGTGCCGGGTGGGGGTTCCAGCTCAGCTAGACAGCCCTCTGAGCCTCAGTTTCCTTCCGGTCCGTGCCTGGGGCCCCGCCGCTGCTGAGAGGTGGGGCCAGACCCAGCTCAGGCCCGTGGCCCTGCTGTGTGCAGGTGGGGTCCTCGCGGGGAGGGGGCGTCACATGCACACACTGCAGGAGGGACCGCTCACAGGGACCCTGCGCCGGGGCCTCCGGGATGGGATCGAGGGTGGGGTCTCGTGGAGCACGCAGACCTAGACTCCGGGCGCGTCTGGGTAACTGCGTGTAGCCGGGTTGCTGGGAGACGGGCGGCTGCCTGTGCCCTGCCAGGAAACCACCGATTAGCAGAGCTCCCGTGTGTCTGCACGCCAGTCGCAGCTGAGACCTGGCCCGGCTCGGGGCCGGTGCTCCCGGGGCCTCCCGGGCTCCTCATGAGCAGCAGCTGGAGCATGGGGACTGTGGGCTGCCCTGGACAGGGGCACCTGGGCGGCCTGGCAGCTGTCCATGCCTGAGACTCTTGTCTGGAGCCGCCCAGCAGGAGCCGGGGTGGGGGTGCGGCAGGTTTGGGCCTCTGGCCGACTGTCTTAGCGGGGAAGAGGGTGGTCGACTGCCAGGGGGTGGGAGCTCTGCCTCTCGGTTTATTTCTTTTTTTTTTTATTTTTATTTTTATTTTTATTTTTTGCTGCTTAATTTTAATTTTTATTATTTTTTATTTATTTTTTATTTTTATTTTTTTTATTTTTTATTTATTATTTTTTTAATATTAAATTTTATTTAGTTACTTTTCAAGTACATTTTTTTTTTTTCGGTTTATTTCTTAAAAACTGCAATGACTCAGGTTCATTGGCCCTTGGGGTGAAAGGAGGGGTGTGGACGGTGCAGGTGGGGTTTCGGGCCATGGGCAGGGAGTGTGGGTGGGGGCAGGGAGGTGGGTGCCGGCTGTGCCCGCAGGCCAGGCCTGACCTGCCTTGCCTTGCTTCCCTCGCAGACTCAGGCTACCTGTTCAGTGGGAGCCGCCCGCCGTCTCAGGTGTCTCGGCCTGGGGAGCTTCCCGTCTCAGGTAAGGAGACCAGGGAGTCGGGCGGAGGGACGGGAAGCCGCTTGGGTGGGGTTTCCAGAGCCCCGTGTGGGGGGGACGCAGGGCAGTTAGGGTCAGGCAAGGGTCTGGTCAGACCCCAGCCCTGTGCCTCCCAGCTGTGCAGCCCCAGGCGGGCAAGTGACTGACACCCCTGGGCCTCAGTTTCCTCTTCTGCGAAATGGCTGTGGTCGTTTCTAGGTTCGATGCACTGCTGTGGCCCTTATCAGTGACCTCTGGGGGAGATGGTGTACACTCAGGGTCCCGCCATCAGCAGGGTGTGGGTGAGCAGACCTTAAGTCTCAGGAGTTGGTGTCTGTCCAGGCCTTGCTCTCAGCTGAGGGAGGCACCAGGGGCTTTGATAGAATCAGGAGGTGGAAGGGACTTGGCTGAGGGTCCCGCAGGCTCCTCCTCCCTCCGTGCCCCCCACCTGTGCGCAGCCCTTCTTCCTGGGTTAACAGGGAACAGAACAGCTGTGGCACGTTTACTGTGACCATCTCGAACACTCACGCATCACTGGCATTGTCTTTGTCCCCCTCCCGCCCTCTAGATTACTTCTCCCTGCTGTCGGGGAGCTGCCCCTCCTCCCCACTCCCTTCCCGGGCACCCTCCGTGGCCGGCTCGGTGGCCTCCAGCTCTGGCTCTCTGCGCCACCGCAGGCCCCTCATCAGCCCTGCCCGGCTCAACCTGAAGGGGCGGAAGCTGCTGCTGTTCCCGTCGCCCCCCGGGGAGGCCCCCAGCACCCCCAGCAGTTCCGATGAACACTTGCCCCACAATGGCAGCCTCTTCAGCCTCGAGCCACCCCAGGTCCCTCAGGGGCAGCCGGCACAGGACACGAAGCACACTCCAGGTACGCCCCCCAACCCCTCCTTGGAGGCAGCAGGGCCAGCAGGGCTGTGGGAGCACCTCATGACCAGTGCCAGGGTGGGGGTGGGGGGCACCCGTCAGCAGGCCGCACGTGGCCTGCCCTGGATCTTAGCTGAGTGTGCGTGGCCACTCTCCCAAGCCCCAGTAGTCCCGGGGCTGGCTTCCCGTGACCTTGAACTCTCCAGGACATTGCCCTTTGTTGGCTGACTTTATTTTCTTGTTTTGCAATCGACCTGCAAGGCTGTCTTTTCCTTCCAGTGGGTCAGAAACACATCACGCCACGCCAGGCTGTACCTGCTCACAGATATTTTTGTTTTGCTCAAATAATGTTGGTCTACAAAGCATTTAAATTTTATCAAAATTAGGCCTCAACCTGGCAAATCTGGAATTTTCCCATGAATGTGTGGGTTTCTTGAGGCTCTTACAGTGTAGAAGCTCTGGTCCCACTGACCCTGAGCCCTGGCCAGCCTGGAGGGAGGGCAGGTGGAGGGCCACATCCCACCCTGCCCCACAACCTGGAATCCTCACTGTGGGCCTTCGTCTGCCAGCCCGTTGGCTTTGGTGTTTGCCACTTCTAATCCAAAACCAGCTCCCTGGCAGCCAGCAGCTGAGGTGGGGGAGCCAGTCGGGACGGATGAGGACTGTCCTGCCCTGGGGGCGAGCTGGGGGCACCCACTGAGACACCCCTTCTCTGTGCAGACATGAGGTTGGTGCCAGAGAGGAGCAGCGCCTGCAGCAGCCGCTCCATCAAGAAGGAGGACGACTCCTCACAGTCGTCCACCTGTGCTGTGGACACCACCACCAGGGGCTGCTCTGAGGGGGCTGCTGCCTGGACAGGTGCGTGCCGATTTCCGGAGGAACGCCGGGCAGCGTGGGGGCCTGGGGTCTGCAGCCACCATCACCTCCTGTTTAGTCTGGGACCCTGACAGAGAAAGACCCTCGAGGGGCCTTTTAGGGACAGAGGATGGTTAGATAACCCACCCAGCACCTTGGGACCCAGCCTGTGGCCCAGTAGGTGGCAGCCCCACCCTCTGACTAGGTCTGAGTCCGTGTTCTCAGTTACAGCAGCCTCGGATCATAGGTGGCTATTGAAACTTAAGAAAATTAAAATTTGGTAACAGTGAAAGTTTGGCTCCTCAGCTGCACCAGCCACGTGTCAAGTGCGGCGTGGCCACGTCTGGCCCGTGGCCGCCCAGTTAGACCCCGCCTTCCCAGGCGGGCCTCTGAGCAGGCGCTCAGCTGTCAGCACCCAGACTCTCCCCTGGGGAGGTGGGGGACCCCAGTCGGCTGTGACCTCTGAGGCCTGGGCTGGGGCCTTGTTGCCTGAAGCCCCATTTCCTGTCTGTGAAGCAAGGTCACGTCTCTGCCCCCGTCACCAGGGTGGGAGCGCAGGGCACCCTGGCCAGTGCCTGCCTGGTGACACGGGCTCAGAAGACAAGGCTCCGTCAGGGAGACATGACCTGACCAGACGACCCGTTTCGGGGTGTCTCTCTGGGTGGGGAGGTTTCTGGGCACGAGGAAGGAGCTGGGGGCGGGGCCTGTGGGCCTCGAAGCTGCATCTCTGGTGGCCCAGGGGGCATTCAGCTGCAGAGACGCCCCCACCCTGGGTTCGTCTTCTGACCTTCGTGCCTTTGACTGAGTCTCTCCACTCTCTCAAAGGTCGTTTTGGCCCCTCCCTGGTCCAAGGCCTCCTGGCTGTGAGCTTGGCTGCCAACGCCCTCTTCACCTCGGCCTACCTGTACCAGAGCCTGCGCTGACCCGAGGGCCTCCCGCCCACAGGGTCCCAGAGGGCATGTCCAGGTGCATGCTGCTGCCGCCACTGCTGCCTCGGAGCCTCTCCCCCCGGGCCCTGGACCCACTGCGTTGAGTCCTGGCCTCGGGACGTCTCCCCCACCACCAGACTGGGGCTGGTCTGGGCTGTGAGGCCGCCCTCCCCCGCCCACCTCTGGACTCACATCAGTTGTGTTTGGTGCTGCCCCAAAGCCAGGGACCTCCCCAGGGGCTGTGTGGCCCTGGGGCCCCTCCCCACGGTCCTGCCTGGCCTATGCGGTCATCGCCACCCCTGTCACCGCAGCAGGAGCGGCTGCCCCTGACCCCGCACCGTGGCCGTGGGCCCATCGCAGTACTGTACTCCCCTGTCCCACCGGGCCCCGCAGGCTCCCTGGGGAGACAGGAGGCTTGTCCCTGTGTCACTGTCCTCAGTGGAAATGGCCTCCGTGGGGAGGTCCCCTTGAGGACCAGCACCCTCTGCCCAGTCCTGCCCCTTCTGCTGGCCTTAGTCAGGCCTGTCCTCCAGCTGTCCTGATGGGCAGGGGTCCCTGGCCCTGGGCACCTCAATTCCTGGGCCTTGGGGGCCCAGCTGGGCCTTCAGGACTAGTCAGAGCGCCTCGCCCCCAAGCCCCCTTCTGCCCGAGCGCCCCCTGTTCTGTTACCTCTGGTGACCTTCCCAGGCAGCAGCCTCGTCGCCCTGAGACCTTACCCAGGGCCCCGGCCTCACATGCTGCCTCAGGGGCCTCGCCCCACCCTCAGCCGTGGAACTGCCCGGGGCAGCCCTCCAGTCACCGAGAAGACTGGACCCGACCCCCCAAACCTGGCTCTTTTCAGCCGCTGAGACCCCTCTTCCTCCCCTTTCGTTCTGCTGTCACCGTGGCCTGAGTGTGACCTCTTGTCTTTAGGCCACCGTGGCTGGCTGCCCCCCAGCTCCCCTTCGTCCCTGCCCCCGCCCCCGACCACTACTGCCGGTGTGCCCCCCACCCTCACCCTGGTGCTGGGGTCCCAACGTGCCTCTTGGGGAGGGAGGAGGGAGCTCGGTCTGGCACAGGGACCTCGCAGAGCTGTGAGGGGTGAGAGAGTGGGTGTCAGACCCTGTCCCTGCTGCCCTGGGCCTCAGACACTGGCGTGGGGTAGCGTGTGCGTGACGGTCCACGCACGTCTGTGCCGCTGGCGGGGGGGAACTGGCTGCCTGGATGAACTCAGACTTGGGGGGGGTCTCGAGGACGGGAGGAAGGTCTTCACTCTGTCATTCAGGGATAAAGTTCCGTTTTATTTTTCTACACGTCTCTGCTGGGTGAGGCGTCCTGCTGCTCGGCGGATGTCTCGACTCTCCCCGCCAGGGAGGGCTCGTTTTTTTAAGCTTTGGGTGCTTTTTTAGTAATTTTTTTTACCATGTGGGGAAGGAGATTGCTCTGACTTCCCTCTCCCTCTCTTCCCCCCGCTCCTGTCCTGAGAGCTATTGTCCCTGCCCTGTCCCCACCCAGAACACAGGGGACCTGGGGGCTGAGGGGGCCACACCAGGACCCTGAGTCCAACTGCCCTAAATGGTTCCAACTCAGAGATGGTGTCTCTTGGCCCCCATTTGTACAGTGGGCGTGTGCGTCAACTTTTTAACTTTATTTTTTGCCTAATAAAGCCAAACTCCATTCTCGAATGCACTTCCTCTCTGGCCCTGCGGAGGTCCCGCACGGAGCACCCACACTGACCCCCTCACAGGCCTGGCCCCTCCTGCCCAGGACCAGGGTAGCGGGGGAGGCTGGGCCGGAAGGGCTTTGCTTAAACAAAAAACACAACCTTATTTTTCTTTACAAAAGCAAAAAAAGGAAACCAAAAGAAATGCCGACCTGTGAGCTACTGTTCATTCTGTCTCATCTTCACCTGCTCTGCAGCCAGGCCGTTTGCGAAGGACCTGGATGTGGGGTGGGGGGCCCAGCTGAGGTGGAGCGGTCTATCAGGAGCCAGGGGCGGGGTCATCCATGCCCAGAGACCTCGTTTTCTCCTGGGCTGCAGTCAGATGGCCCAGTGTGTGCGGGTGCAGGGCGGGCGCTGACGAAGCCCCTGGTGATGCTGCGCTGGCCCTGTGCGGTGGGAGCCATGGGCCTCAGTTCAACTTGGAAGGAACAGGACTGCCACCCAAGGCCACGGGCACGATTGAAACACCACAGGATGCAGGAGCCCCGCTGCACATCAGCGACTCCCTGGCCCAGGCCCCTGGGAAGGATGGCTGGGCAGTGTCTCCCAAAACTGACCCGGAGTTCGCGGGGCAGGACCAACCACTCCGCCCAGAGGCTGGCTGGCTGGGACAGCAGGGCCAGGCAGCGCCAAAACGCCTCCTAGCCACTGACCCTCAAGGTCCTTGTCCCCTGAGGCCGTGATGTCTAGGGACCACGGGAAGCCCACTGGAAGCCCCTCTTCCAGCGAGTGCAGGTGCACGCTGAGGAAGAAGCAGTGCCCACCTGGCCCAGCACTGTGACGAGGGAGCGCAGGGTGGGGGGCCTGGGAAGCCCTGACCCCCGGGCGAGGTCTCTGCGAGGCTTTGTCTCCTTCTCTGGAGGGTCCGTGTTGTCCCACAAGGGACCCCACAACTGACCTACAACACTCATCTGCTCTCCCTTCTGCGTGTGTGGCTCCGGGGTTTTTGTTTGGTTTGGGGGTCTGTGGACACTCTCGGCGCTCGATCATGAATGAGCCTGTTTCCCGTCCCTCTTCCTCGTGCGTCTTACAGGTCACCTGTGCCCTCTGCCGAGCATCCAGGAGGCCCGTCGGCCCTCCCTGCTCACGGCCGGGGCGGCAGGAGCACCGTCGCCAGGCACCTGCGGCTGCCGCGTTGAAGGCCCCTCTCGGGGTGGTTCTCGAGAGCTGAATCTTTCTGTCGAAGGTTTGTCGAGAGTCCTAAGCTCTTTCTCCGTGCTGCCTGGTTGCATTCTAGAAAGGCACAGAGAAGCACGCAGTGTTTTAGAAAGTCTTCCTGCTGACTCTTGGTCGGGACACCTGCCCCCGGTTACAAGGCTGCTTATTGGGAGGTGGGGGGGCGATGGTAAAAAATACCCAAGTTCCAGTCATATTTGTAAAGAGCGGATTGTCACGCAGGATCTAGGTCAGGAAAAGTTCTGATCTAACGAGAAAAGTGGGGAGACTACCGCTGACACCCCACCCACCTCACCGCCTGGCCATGTGACACCTGGGCCCTCCACGCAGCCAGAGGCAGCGGCTCCCAGTGGCTCCCGGCCCCTCTTCAGGTGATCAGAGGTAGGAGCCCCCCATTAGGAGACGTCTGGGGGTGTGGCGTGGCTTCGTCACTGGAAAACGCTCTGTTGTAGCACCTTGGGTCATTTTGCCACCAAATGGGAAAAGCTGTTCTCCGTCCTGGAGGAGCCAAGTACAGCCCGCTCGGCTCCAGGGCCCGCCGCACTGGCCGGCTTGAGTCTCTGTGTCCAGCCCCTGCTCTTGGAGCCCGAGCGAGTGGAGTCACAGTGGAGGGTGGGAGAGAGCCAGGGTTTCCACAGAGCCTTCCTTCCTGCGTCACCGGCACGGTCGGTGCTGTCCTGGTGTGTCCCAGGCTGTGCTGGGCACAGGCCACAGTGGTGACCGAAATAGAGATGCCCCCGCCTGGAAAGGGCAGAGCAGTCTCAGATGGGCACCCAAGTTATTACGTAATTGCACCCGAAAGTGCTGTGAAGTGTTGTGAATAATCAGGAAGTCGGAGATGAAACTTGAAGGCAAGAAGAGGGATATGGCTTTAAGACACAGTAAGTGCTTATGCGAAGACCCAGGGCTGGCTAAAGAGAGTTGAAAGGTTCCTGTGGCTACCACCCAGGGAGAGAGAGCGGCTCAAGGTGGGCCCACGAGAGAGCAGGGATCGCCTGTGAAGGCCACAGTGCGGGTCAAGGACAGAGAAAGCCAGTGTGGAGTTTAAGCAAAGCAGTGTCGGGAGGAAGTGCGCATTTCTGAAAGATCTCAGTGGAATGTGAAGGCTGGGTTGAAAGAAGACACCCGTGGAACAGGAAGGTAGGTCGGCGTGGACGCGGCTTCAGGATGCAGGAGAGAGAAGATGAGCAGGAGGACAAGTTGGCCGTGCAGCGACCCCGTCGGGTTCCAGAGCGAACCACCGGACTTGGCAATCACAGGCAGGAGTCCAGGTGGACCTTGGGCCCCTCCCTGACCCGGGGGCACTGGAGTGGGAGAGGCAGAGCCTGGGTCTCTGCGGCGACTGGTGACTAGACTAACGCCTTGGGTGCCCTGGAGGCAGCTGGTGGGACTCACGCTTCTGCCGCTGTGCCCCTTCCCGGAGACCCCTCCCCTGAGTGCCCAGCCTCAGTCCCCGCCCTACAGGTGCACCCGCCACCTTGGAGAGGCCTTCTGGACAGGTGCCCCATTTTTCTGTCCCTGGATCGCCCATGGTTCCTTCCGTTCAGTTAAAAGCAGTGGCTGTCCCCTCATTACTTGCTCAGTTGCCTCCTGCTGCAGAATGTGATTTCCACCGGAGCGGAGACCTTGGTTCCCACTTGAGGCTCATTAAATATTGTCGAATGGATGAATGAACAAAATGTCCATTAGAATGAAAGGAGCAGCCACAAACAATGAGTCACTACTGTCTTAAGGGAACACCGGATAAGACCGCAGGGGCCAGGAGCCATCACAGCCCCCTCCTGAGAAGCCAGGGCCCTTCAGTGGGTGAGTAGGTGGCTGGGGGTGGGGGCAGAGAGTAGCAGGGGCTGGATCCCAAAGAAGGGCTCCTGAGGTTTGTAGCACTTCAGCTTGCAAAGGCCTGAGAGACGCAAACCCTGACCTCCTGTGAGCTGAAACAGGGTACCAGAGGGTCTCCTGGGCCATTGCAGCTCACCTTCCGTCTCACACCAGGGTCACTGGGGAACGGGTCTGATTTTTGCCCCTTTGTCTTTCTGGACCCCTTTAGGGAAAGGAGCCTGTCGTCATTCACACTCAGAGGTGAAGCAGTCTCTTGGTTTAAAGCTGGGCTAGGGGTCAGGTGCAAGAGTCTCGGGAGGGAGTGGAGATGGGCATTTTCAAATGTCCTGATGGGCCTGGCCCCACTGTCCTGCCCCCGCTGTGACCCTAGGAAAGGCAAGAAGGTGAGGCTGGATGTGAGGGCCCGAGGGGAGAGGTGCGTGGGGGTGATGGCCCACACTGGTCACCAGGAGGGAAGTGGAGTGGGGCAAGGTTGTGGCCTTGGCCATCACCTTTGACCTCAGGGGCACCCAAGACCATAGGAGCAGGGATGGCCCCTTACTATGGACCTGAACAGAACCAGCTGAAGCTGCAGCCGAACCTTTGGGATATTGTCCAGCCCCCAAAACAAACAACAACTGTTAGTGATACTCAGGAGTGGGTTGTGGACAGGCGGGCAGCTCTGAAAGGGGCCGGCTGGTTTCCTGGGAAAAGCTCTGGGGGTTGGGGAAACCTCAAGTCATCAGAACTGCTCTTGCTGCCCAGAAAAGGCACATTTGGTGTCAAAGACAGCGCCTCCTGCAGCGGAAATGGTGCCACCGCCTCTGCAGGCTTTGAGTTTATAGAAAGCAATCCAGGTATGAGGGGGTCCACCTGCCCCAGCTCAAAGACTGAAGTAGCCCAACTGCTCAGAGATAAGGGTGCAGGTGAGAATTTATTGGGGCCCTCTTATTGCACCCCTTGATTCTGAAGGTAGAAAGAGTTTTCTGGTGTTTGTTTGCACAAATAAAAAGTTATTCAATTTTAGGAGGAATTACCGGGCTGAGGGAGAGTGCGTGGTTTTCCAAAGTTGATTTCACGGTGAAGTCTGGTACGGAACAGCCATTTCAGGGCAGGGCAACCTTGACCTTGAGTCTTCCCCACAGCTGCTGAGAGGCCTGCTGAGCCGGCATTTTGTCTAGAAATTTGGGTGTTTCTTTTTTTCTCCCCCAGAGATGCTGGCAGCTTGCCATGAACTTGCAGTTTTCAAATTCATTGTGATCAGGCATTAGGACAAGGGTTCTCTAACTTGACCTTATAACCAGTAGAAGGGAGGAGTTCGCCTCAGTATTTCATGGTTGTTTGGCCCCTTCAACTCAAACCTGCCAAACTAGCCACTGCATTCCCTGGTAACTGTCCAAAAGGGCCTGTGTACATGTCCCCAAGTGACTCCTGGCACAACCGGGCAGTGTAGGAAGAGACCAAGTAAGCAGCCTGAGTTGCTTTTAAACACGTTTTCTTGAACTCCTCCCCCGCAACACTCACACACGCACGCAAAATTATTACAATGTATGCGATTAGTATGGATTCCCTAACTATCACCCTATGTGGGAACAGAAGCTCGTGGTGGCGTCTTGCTGACAGTTCTCTCAGTTCATTCCTCGTGGCGGCTGCCGTGGTAACCCAAGATGGTAGCAATGGAGCAGCCAGCCGTGGCTGCGCACAGGAGCCCCGTACCCTTCTCCGTAAGTCTAAATCTGGGCTCAAACGAAACATTCATTTAAAAACAACTCACAGAACTTGGGGGTCCCGTTACACTAACTTGGCACTTACAGGCCCGCATGCACTTATGAGTCTCAGAAGCAAACCAGGAAGCAGGGCCGCCTCCTGGGCCTGAGACCCACGTGGCGCACAACCCCCCCCCCCCCCCCGGGTTCGGAAAGGCTCCGCAGTCCACGCGGCTCAGTGCTCCGCTGTCTCTGTCTGGGAGTGCCCCCTGCCTCTCCGACAGCCGGCCACTCACTTTCAGGTGGCACCCGGCCTCCTGACTGCAGAGCTTGCCCCGCCCTGAAGGGACCGGTCCGGCTGTCGGCAATAATCACCCTGGGAGATGGGGCCAGGGAGGAGTGAAAGCAGGCGAGGATTTCTTACGTCCTGCGTGCAGTATGCATGTCGACAAGCACTTACAGCTCGTAACATGCATGTGTGTGTGTGTGTTCATATCCAGAACACAAGAGGAGCTGCCCAGACAAAACTGAGCTGCCCAGTGCGAAGCTTTCG